AAAACTTCCTAGATATAATATAAGTACTCTTTAAAGCTAGTAAACCCTATAAAGATATTATTATAGTATAGTAAACCCTTAGTTTATTATAGAATCTTATTTATTTACTATTATATATAGGTATTACTATTCTTATAGCCTATAATAGGTACCTAGAATATATATTAGCCTTTATATATAATAATTATAAATACCTATATTAAGTCTAGATATAGTTACTATTAATAGTAAAATACTATAGTATTAATAATAGTAATATACTTAATATAGGCTAACTTACTTATAATAGTATCTTATTATTATATAAGGTATATATTACTTAAGGCTTATTTATTTAAAGGCCTTATATTTATTACTATATACCCTTTCCTCTTATTACCTTACCCTTATTAGATAATAAAGATAGGGAATATAAATAGTACCTATATATATATATATTCTAGCTTACCTTTAGTAATAAGATTATTAACTATTATCTAGATAATCTTCTATTCCTTAAGACTTTATAGGTATACCTTATAGTAATATAAAAGTATCTCTTCCTAGCCTAGCTTTAAGTATATATATATATATTCCTCTAGGGGTATTATAGTAAAGCCTTTATCCTTAAAGAGTACTATATAGTCTATAACTAGCCTATATAAAGCTATATTTTATTATTATAAGCTATTATAATAGATATTAATACTAATAGGATATATAATTATATTTATCTTAAGGGCTTTTAGTATTATAGTAAACTTACTATTTTCTATTTTACTAACTACTATTAGCTTTATTATTAAGTTAGCTTACTATAGTTTAATAGTATATACCTAAGCCTTTAGGTATAGGGAGTATAGTTACCTAAGCCTTATATATTTATATAGCTTTATATACTTTAATAAGTTATTATATACTAGTATATAATATATATCTTATTATATTATAGTAGAAAAGGCTATAATATTAGGTATTATTTAAGGTTTATATATATACTATATTTATTTAATACCTTTAGTAGTATTATATTAGATAGGTACTAATATAGTCTTTCCTAGTATTAGGATAATATATAAGTTAGCTTTAATTATTACTATACTATATTATACTTAAGCCTATATACTTATTAGTATACTTATATATTAATAGCTATATAAAATTACCTTATACTATATAATTAATATATCTATTTATAATAGCCTTAATATATTTATACTAAGTAGTATATTAGCTCTTAGCTTAAGTATTATAGTTATATTAATTATCTAATATACTATAGCTAGTATACTATCCTACTATATATTAGGAAGATATAGTAGAAAGTATATATACTTTATTACTATATACTAAGCCTACCTTATATTATATAGTTATATTAGCTATACTTTTATAAGTAAGGTTAAGTTAAGATAGTTCTTAGTTAGCTATCTTTTATCTACTAGTATAGCGTTAGAGCTAGTATTAGTATATATATTATAAAGTATACCTAGTATATTTAGGTCTAGGTAGACCTAGAAGTATAGGTATAACTAGCTAGAACCTTATAATATTTAAGTTATTAGGTTATATATAACTATTACTTAAATAATTTATAGGGGTAGTTATAATCTAGAAAATATATTTAGGGAGATATAATATATAGCTAGCTATATTATATTATATTTAATATATATACTTATAGAAAGGTTATTATAAAGAATATTAGAGTAAGTAAAATCTTAATTATTTAAGCTAATAGCTATACTTAGATAAGCTATATATATATATTTATATAAATTATTATTAGAACTAAAGGCCTAGCTATAAATATAGTACTTAGTTATACCTTATATAGTAATAATAAAGTAGGTATTAATAGTCTCTTCTAGCTCTTTATCTAGGGTATATATTACTATAGCTTATAGATTATCTAAATAATCTACTAGGCTATATTCTTCTTTCTTTAATAGTATATTTATAGACTAGTTATCTTTCTAGGTTATACCTTAATTCTCTATTTCCTTATCTTACTAGTATATACTTACTATTTACTATAGCCTACTACCTTAATTATATCCTCCCTAGTTATATAGCTAGTAGGGAGTATAATATAGGGGGTATATATTATTCCTATACTTACTATAGCTATTACTATTTTTTCTAAAGCTATTTATATTCTATATACTATTAGTAGCTTAAGGTAGGATGCCTATATTACTATAGAATAGTCTAGAGGGGGCTATCTATAAGGCCTTCTTTATATCCTATAGCTACTATATATAGCCTTAGCCTTACTATATATATACTAAGGGTAGGGATTATTAGCTATCCTAATAGCTATTTAACTACTACTATCCTTACTATCTATTATAAGACTAGCTATAAATATTATATAGCCTAGATAGGTACTATACTACTTAATCTAAATATAGTATATAAGGTATATTATTCTACTTCTACCTTATAAGATCTTTTATTATATCCTATTACTCTTATAATACTATTATAAGCTATAAAGCTATAGTATTTAATATTAATAATAGTAGTAGGCTATAGATTATTAGGTTAAGAGAGTTATATACTATCTAAAGTTATACCTACTAGCCTAATTTATAAGCTTATATATCTCTTAATACTTATAGGGTATATATTTTAATACTATAGCTATTATATATATCTATTAAGGTATATTAGGCCTTTACTAGGTCTTTAGTAGCTTTTACTATTAGCTTTTACTATCTTTTAATAAGACTAGTATAGATATCCTTTATAGATATATTATAAAGTAGTTATTAGTCTATTATAATAAGGTAGCTATTATACTATTAGGTAGCCTTACTATATAAATAGGTTACCTAAATATCCTTAACCTATTACTTATTATAGCTAATAATATACTACTTAAGCTAGTCTATAAATATATAAATATAGATAAATATTAAATCCTTAGTAGCTTTTATAACTTAACTAGTCTTTTATTTATCCTAATATTAGAGGTTTAGATTAAAGAATTTAATATTATTTTTATAAAGCTTAGCTAGCTTAAGCTTACTAGCTATTATTATTACTACTATAGATACTACTAGTATCTCCTTATAGTAATATACTAGGGTTAGTTCTATAATAGCTACTATCTATATTAAGGCTACTAAGAAGAGTATACTAATATCCTATATAGGTAGCTAGGGGTTACTTAGAGGGGGTATACTTCTTATCTCTACCTAGCTTACTTATTAATAACTTACTTAAAGATTTAAGGTTATTTACTATCTAGCGTCTATCTATATATAATAAGATAAGCTAATTTCTCTAAGCTAGGTAATAAAATTTAAGAAGTTTAGAAAGGATATTAATAGGGGGGTTAAATAGGAATAGGTCTATATTAGGAAGGTGCCTAGTAGGCTAAATATATAGGCTTAGCTTCCCTCCTCTTATCCTCCTACTTCCTACCTTTCCTACTCTTCCTACTATATTTATTCTCCTTCTTAATATAGCTTAGGTCTTATTAAGAATAGCTTTATATAGGCTTAGTAAATAAGCTACTTTATAGGGACTATATAGTTTCTTATAGGTATATATATATTTATATAAGTTCTCTAGACTTTTAGAATAGTATATACTATACCTAAGTTAGGGGGAATTTCCTTTTACTTATCTATCTAGTCTTATATATATATAGTATAGGCTAGCTAGCTTATAATATAAGCTAAATAACTTTTATCTATTTCTATATATAATAACTTAGTATTAATATACTATTTAGCCTATTAAAGCTAGTATATTTTAGTTAGTATTTAAGTTAACTAGCTTAGCTAGATTTACTTTTATAATACTAGTATTAAGGGGGGGGATAGATTAAATTAAGGAGGGGGGTATTTAGTATATTAGCTATAGCTAATTATAGGTAGGAAAAAAAAGAAAAATGAAAATAAACGTTGCTATTAATAAGAGCTTTAAATTTAATGAATTTTAATAGTCTCTAATAATCCTACTAGTGTTACTACTATTTTATTAGGTATAAGAGTTTAGTAAGATGATGATGTATTCTCCAGCTCCTCGGTGGGTGGCTTATAGCCCTAAGTGGTGCTGTGCACGTGACATACTGGCCTATCAGGGAGCTTCACGCAACACGTGCTGCCACTGGGAGGAAAGATCCCTGCTATAATCTCGACGCCACAGTGGTTTCGGCGGCAACGATGAATCCACCAAAAGCCACTAAAGTCAACTGGAGGCCGCTAAAAAGCCACGCGACCGTCAAGTGAACGAACTGTACGGAGTAGTTGGATTCAGCTGTACCAATGCAGAGTGTAACTAGTTGGGCAATGCAATGGATGGAGGGAATCAGGAAAAATAAGCACATGGCGAATGGAGGTACCTGCATTTTGTCCAACCTCGTATCTCTCATTACTGGCTCTTTTATGTCTTGACTCGAGCGAGTTTTCATTGCCCACATGCGCTAGATTGATAAAACTCACCGAAGCAGGCCCCGCAGCTTCGGCCGGCAGACTTTTATTTACAGTGGCTCTCTCGCCGAAAACAGCCACCGGACATCGCTGGGCAAGGCGCAACACGGACGGGCCCTGTGCCGTGTCTGTCGGTTACGCGAGGTAATTTTTTTTCATCTCTCATTTTCAATTAACAATGGAATTGCAAAATATAAACAAACGGAAGATCATCCCAAGTTTCGCAAGTAGCGAGTCTTGACTACTCCAGACACTAGATATATACAGTAAGGTACTAGAGGTATGGAGTACCTATCGGACTGTCGTACCATTTCTGCAATACAATACAATACGGCCCACGATCCATGCCGTGCTTGCAGCCAAATATTGATGCACGTACATCACTCGCCCACATCCTACAATAGTGCAAAAAGGGGTTTTTGGGACTGCCAGAAGGGCACACTCGGGATGGAAGGAAGGAAGTTGATTCACTGACTAGGTAGGTATCTAGATACTAGATACTGTGTCAACGGAGGATCGTTCTTCCGTCTTCCGTTGCCGTCACAACAAATGTTAAATGTTTCCGCGCACTAAACTTTAGACACCAGAATCGTCTTGAATAATCTTATTCTCTTCCTGGAATGACGACCAAGCCGCACACTCTGTACTCAGCTTCTCTGCGTCAATAATCGCCGGTATTTCGTCGGCGCGCTCCACGACCTGTAGCGAGAACCCCGTCTCGACGTGGTATCCAATGTGGCAATGCATGAGCCAGACACCGGGGTTATCCGTCACAAAACCAATCACAAGATACCCGGAGCCTAGCAGGAGAGCCGTGTCTCTTCTGGGAGGATTCTTCGTCTTCAGAGGCGAAATACCCGATATGAACGGCCCGACCCCTTGACCAAGCACGAAAAAGTCGTGCCCATGCAGGTGAATCGGGTGGGCCACAAAAAGAGGGTTCTGGATCACCAAGTAAAACGTCTTGTTGGCCTGCGGTAGCTCAATCACAGAATCATTCTTCTGGAAATCGGTCTCATGGCGTAGCAGTTTGCTGAGAGTTGGGTCGTTCCACTCAATCAGCATTGGCGCCGCTTTGAGCGTCCAGTACCAAAATCCGTCTACTTTGTTGAAGCTGGTCGTCTCTGTGACTTTGATATCTGGCTGCTCGACGTCTTCCTTGACACGCGGTGTACCACGTGTACTCAGGTCGCCGCATAGCTGGGAGATTGGGTACGACCTTGTAGACGGGTCACTGGAGCTATCATCGTATTGCACGACAGCTCGAATGTCATCGGCCCTCGCGTTCGGATCACCGCATAGCCCGAGAGGTATGGAGCGCATCCAGAACTGCTTGGCTGTGGTCGCTTGATTCGCCGTGACCAGAATATCGTATCGTTGACCCATGGTGATGTCCAGGACATTGACCTTGTATGGCTCCACGGGAACGAGGTCGTGCGCAATGACTGTCATTTCGTGATTGTCAATCGTGAATTTAAAGTGCGAGATGAGTGCGGCATTCACCAAGCGCAACCGGTACGTCTTCCCGGCTTCGAAGCGAATCTTGAGTCGTTGACCGCCGTCGCCAAACGTGTTGGTGCCATTGATCAAGCCTGTTTCCAGAAGCTGAGGGAGAAGGTAACTTTTATGATAGATAGAACGCGCATACGCCGTCTCGTGGGACCAGTCGTTCAGAAATAGAGGACCAAGGTCGACGTCGTAATTCGCAGTCGCAGGTCCATTGATGACAATGCCACCAAAGACGCCCTCCCAGGCCTGCAACCCAAAGTGAGAATGGTACCAAGTCGATCCATACTGCATGGCCCTCCAAGTATACGTCGTCGTCTGATTCACCGGCGTAGGGCACTGTGTCATGGACACGACACCATCGTTTTGGTTGTTGAAGAGCTGGCGAATACCGTGAAAGTGTATGCTTGTGCCATTTTTCGAAGTATAGAGCGAGTTTCTGACATGAACGACGACGGTGTCTCCCCAGTCGGCAAAGAGCGTTGGCCCAGGAATAGTACCATTGGCAGCTACTGAATGGTTAGTGTACAGTGCCCATCCGACCGAAGCAAAAACACGTTACCCATTGCGGGCCTTGGTACACCATCTGGTGAAGCAATTATGTCCACGATATCGAGCCAGTACTCCCTAGTGACACCTGTGTCTGGAACCAGGCTCTTGTAGTCAGACTCTATGGAGTATTCGCACCATGACGATCGATTCGCGGGCGTGTTGCCAGAACATGGTGATTTTCCCTCTGCACGAGCCACTACAGACGCAGCTGTGCATATGAGATGAATACCTACAATGGCAGCTTGGAACAGCATAACAACTGAATGAAAAGTGCAGAGTGTGTTAGGACTAGCAATGGAGGCTTGGGTCTAACGTTTGCTACTGGGAACCCCATCACGATAGCTCAAGCTGGAGTTATTTAAAGCGAGAACATATTATGACAGACATGGTTGTTGCACTTGATCATGAGCGGGATGACCAATAGGAAGATGGTAAAGGGAATCGTAGATAAACAGCATTCGTCAGGAAATCACACGATTTGCTATAGCCTGTAAGAGCGTAGCCTTTTTACTTCTACACTAAAAAGGCGCATATTGCAAGGGCTGGGATAAGCCAATAGTTAGCCGATTAGAAGCAAATATCCGAAGGCTGTTTCATAGGTAGGGAATCAGCCATTAGTGGGACCAGATGTCCACATCTCAGTTGGCATGAATCACCTTAAATTATTATTATTAAGAACTGTTTAACACCAGAAGCCTTACCCTACCTGTTGAGCAATTGTAGGGTCAAGTGCTACAGCACACCTGCCCTCTTCGCCTCTGAGCCACGGTATCCTAGTTTTAGCCACAATAATAACGTATCAAACCTCTGATACAGATTTGCTGCTTTTGTATTCGTTTCCCTTTGTGTTTCCCTTGCTTCGCTCCGTACACCATCAGTTCAATCAGTCGATAATAGAAACAGAATCGTGAGCAATATGTAGGAGCTGTGAAGGCTGCTTTACTTGTTCATAGTAGATACGCGTATCAATCTGAAACCTGCACATTGTGCACAGCCGCTCCGACTGCTCGTGGCAGAGATTCAGGCATGGTCGCGCCAAGAACAGCAATCGAAAATGAGACAGGTCACTCCACCCTACAGGCGAGGCGTGGCACTTGCAGGGATGACGGCTATATACTGGCAATAAAGAAATGCTAAAAGGGATATCGTGCTTATTGCCGCTATTTCTGTATCTGGCTATAACGACTGCTGGTATCCAGTGTGTAGCTATCAGGTGATGCTACTTTGTGGACTCATAATACAACAATTGGTTTGCTTCAGTCGGCCGATAGCAAAGGCTGCGATCGTCTGAGAGACTAGTATGTAGCGGGGTCAGTTCAATCACGTACAGGATGAAATGGAGTATCGCTTAGTTCAGGAGTTGGCCGGACTAGATAATTAGTCTACGAATTCCTGACTATAATGCTAGGCCGCTGTGAGTCCGGTCGGCGGCTTAAAACCGCTAAACATGTTTCGTTTCCCCATCGATCTTCTTTGAATTGACCCTTTTGCTAGCCAATGTTAGCGTCGGCCTTGGTAAAGACGATGCGCACTCTCGCATTACGTATGTAACTCTTCTGCCGGACCTCGCAATTGATTGGAGCTTTAAAGTCTACGAGTAATAATTGTATTAATCCGGGCAGCACCTCAACGGCTCGTCCTTCATTTCTAAGCGGTCGTTCTAAAGTCCTACACTCCTTGGTGACTAGCGGAGATGCAATCAAGAGCAGACAGATAATTCATGACAGCCCGTCAAGAAATCTATTTTATGGGCGGGTAGGATAGGGGCGAAGCGATATATTCTTCCAAGTGTCTATGTGCCACTGTCCCGTGGAAAGTATGTACATAATTGAATCATCCTCGCTTCCGCGAACCAAGCCAGGACCACTAGCCTCGCCTCGCCTCGCCTCGCCTCGGCTTTATGCGAATTCTTTATTTACAGGCCAGTCGTGCTCTTGATGAAGGAACGAATCTCAGCGCTGGCGACGCTGGAGTAAACGCCGGGTTTATTGGCCCGAGCACAGCCAGTTCCGAAAGAGACGATGCCAACAACCTTGCCGCCAGTCACCAGAGGACCGCCGCTGTCGCCAGAGCAAGAATCCTTCTTGCCTTCAGGGAAGCCAGCGCAGATCATGTCGGCCGTGATTGGGGTGACGCTGGCGTAGTTCGTCTTGCAGGTGGCGCGGTTGTAGATGGGGACGTGGACGGCCTGGAGGGCCGTGGGGTAGTTGGGTGTCTCGGTGAGGGAGCCCCAGCCGGAGACGACCGTGTCGGTGCCGACGGCGGGCTCCACGTCGGCCAGGGCAATGGCCTTGACCGTGGTGCCGAACTTGATGGCCGGGCTGATCTCCAGAATGGCGGCGTCGTAGGCGTACGACTCGGAGTTGTACTTGGGGTGGACGACGGCCCGGGTGACGTTGTAGTTGGTGCCCTTGCCGTTGGTGGCGCTGCCAACGCGAATGTTCAGGCCCGTGTAGCCCTCGGCGCAGTGGCCGGCCGTCAGGACGTATTTCTCGCTGATGACGGTGCCGCCGCAGTTGGCCCTGTCGTTGACGCGCAGGTCCACCTGGTAGGGGAAGTCCTCGATCTTGACAGACACGCCGCCCACAATCGCCTCACTCCTGGTGGCGACGGAAGGGACAGCAAAGGCGGCCGCCTGGCTGGCGAGGGCGACGAGGGCGAGTTGGTTTCTCATGATGAAGGAAAAGTTGGCCGAGGAAGGGTTGCTAGACAAGGAAGAGATGGATGAGGCTGCGGATGCGGATGCTGTAGAATAAAGCGCATTTTTTGAGCATGGAAAACAGGTTGATTTATAGACTTGAGATATCTCGACAACCTTCTCATCATCTGCTATATTTATTGCCGGAAGAAGCAAGTCACAATGAAAGTGGCGATGCCCAGGCGCTGAGCCCAAAAAAGTGAGCCCATAAGCACAACAACGCGCATATTCTCTTTCGTATAGGGAGCGATAGGGAAGGTTACATTCTTTGACAAGTCCGCGTTGAAGTTTGTGTTGTCATTTGGCGGACTCTAAGCTTCTTAGGAAGGTAGGAGAAGTAAACCACCACGGACCTTGTTTGATGCTCCACTAGTTAGTGTAGATCGACAAGGAGAGGCAGGTCGCCGTGCCCACTTGCGTTGAGTTTCAGCATCCATTGTCAGAAACGCGGCATAATAAACGACGCGGGTTCCTTTCCAGGCGAGTGCCGTCTGACTCGTCCGTCCCCCTTGGATCCCACATCCCTTCTTGCTCCTGCCGAACTCGTATCTTCGTTTCGTCTTACGGAGGAGGAATGCTTGTGATAGGAACGGCCAATGAACGGGAATTGTGTATATCCGCCAGCCTAAAAACCTATTACACATTTACCATGTGCGCCAGCAAAAGTGGTGGGCACCCACACGAATGCTGGTGCTCTATCTTGCCCTAAGTCTCACACATCCCCCCAGCTCTATAGAAGAACAGGGCTTCTAAGTAGCTAGCTTCTATAGAGGTGAAAATAAGCTCTGTTAGTTCTACTTCTACCTTTATTTTTAGGGAGTAGCCTATAGCTAGTAACGTTATAGGGAGTTAAACCTAGGACCTATAGATAGAGAAGAAGTAATTTAGTATAAAGCGAAGTAGGCCTATAACTATTATATATTTACTATATATGCTAGTAAAAGTGGTGGGCACCTATACGAATGCTAGTGCTCTATCTTGCCCTAAGTCTTATAAAACCTAACTTAAAACCTAATCAGGCCTACTCTAATCGACGGACCGCCCCCCCCCCCTACGCAACCTCTTTGAGCAGCGGGTGACTAGTATGCCCCATGGCGCGAACCTGTAGCTGCATGCTCTCCAGCAGTCTCGTCCTGGCGCGGGTGTCCTCGAGATCGCGCCCCTCGAAACTGCCGTGCGCCGCTGCGAAGCGGTACTGGGCCATGACCGCCCACATGCGTGCCAGCTCGTCCGGCCCGAGCGGGATCATATTGGGATAGCTCCACATAAAGGTAAACGTGTTGCGACCGGGCGGTTTGCTCTCGCGCTGGACGCCGCGCGCGTCTGTCTCGTAGTCGCCCACGCCGGCGAGGGTCAGCATAAACGTGTCGGCGACAAAGAGGTGCCGGTCGTAGAGCAGCACCATGGAGCCTGGGAAGTGGCCGCCGACCTTGATGGCGGCGACGCCCGTGTCGAGGATCGCCGTCTCCGCACCCGCCAGCAGCTGCCGGTGGGCCGAGGCCGTCGTGGCCCAGGCGGCGTCCTCGGCGGCGGTGTAGACGGGGCAGCCAAAGGCGCGCGCCCACACGACGTGCGCGCCGTAAAAGTGCGGGTGGCTGATGACAATGGCCCGCAGGCCGCCCGCGTCCCGGGTGCGCTGCACCGTCTCGTCGTCGAGAAACGTGAGGCAGTCCCAGAGCACGTTGCCGGCCGGCGTGGCGAGGAGCGTCGCGCGCTGGCCGATGCCCACCGCCGGCTCGGTGCGGATGTACGTGATGCGGCTGTCGCCGGCGTACGGCGAAAACACGTTTTGGTACCGCGGGCGGGCGTCTTTGAGCGACGCGACCGTCGTGAAGGCCTGGCCGGTTGCGGGCACAAACTGCCGGGGGTCGTCGCAGATGAAGCACGTCGTCACAGCAGCGCGGTCGGCCGTGGGGAATTGCGTGCCGCAGGCTGTGCAGACCAGCCATTGGTCGGTCGTGGCTGGGTCGTACGGTTCTTTTGCAAAGGCCATGGTTGCCTGTAGCTGTTCATTCATAGGCAGTGGAGGGTTCTTGGCTCAGCTAGGGTCCCGTCCGAGTTCCTTGGCTGCGCACGGCATGTGTTTTGTATACGGGCGGCAAGCGGGGCTTTGCAGCCTATACGGAGTAAGTATCCTTAGCTGATGAATAATATATCGAGGCGCTTTTGAAAAGTCTTGATGACTTGACTTGATTTAAAGCATCACCTGTCTTGCTTACTGGTTTTGAAGCTGAGCGGGGGAGCTGGACACTAGAGGAGACGCCACAGATAAAGCGCGCGGTATCGGCGCTCCGGGGCTCCGCTAGGCTCCGTGTTAGTCGGAACTCCGACGCCGTAGGCTACGGAGTAGATAGGCTCCTGGTTACGAAATACACGAGCTTGGCAGTACTTGCCAGCTTCTCCGTTTGGCTAGTTCGCCGTGCAGGTCAGCCCACCTCCGATGTACCGTTCATCCAACACTTGGCTTACTTGCCGGCATTCAAGAAGTGACAAGAAATACAGAGTTAAATTGCCAAGTAATTTTCTCAATATATACTTGCTATTATACTTCAAAAGAAATTCCTGATCAAGGCATATATATGAATGCGTTTTCGTATTTCCAAAGAACACGAGGCCGTATCCTGACCGCTTGATAGCGAATTCGCTCCCAAAACACGGGGTATTCTGATGGCATCAGCCCCAATACGTCACCCCGTCGTACGACTTGTGCCCGGCATTCACCACGCGCCTCGTGACGGAGCTGCTGCTATGAAAAAATATGTAAAGAAAAATCAAAGCTCTAGGTTGGTCGTATGACCGTTTATTAAAACGGGTAGATGCTCCAAATTTAGGCAACAGCGCCTGCCTACACGTGACTCCCGAGATCTATTCGCTAACAGCGCGCCTGCTCACCTCCTTTCTTCTCGTACAGAAACATGCTTGTCCATGACATCTAATGGACAAAACGATAGCGGACAGCGCAATCCAGGTTAGAAACTTTTCGAATTTTCTTGCTACTTCTTCTTTGTAGTTAAAATTAACATTGACCTTTACCTTCTAGTTGACCTTTGCTGGTTCGCCCCTGCGAGCTTGGGCTGAGCGCGTCGACCGTGTCCATGACAACGTCCTATTCATCACCCTTATTCGCCCTAAATTTATAGAATGTATTTCTATAGGCTTACGTCTCCTGCCTGGCTTCCTTCTTCTGCCCTTGCAGCGTCAGCTGCCACCACAATATTACCTCCCTGGACGTCTTGTTCTCAAGACTCGCAAACCTGGCTGGGATGATGAGTTTGTTAATGAAAAGGTCATGTATAAAAGACTTGAGCCGCTACAGGGCCGCATTATTCCCTGCTTCCTAGGGGATGCAGAGTTTAATAATACACCCTCGATTGTGCTATCACGTTTTGAGGGTGTGCCCTCTAATAAGCAAGGGCTAACTGCACTGCCGGCTGAGGATTTCAAGCAACAGCTTGAGCCTATCCTTCGGGCTTTTACTGACTATGGGGTTATTTATGATGACCCAAAGCTAGATAACTTTCTAGTGGTCAAGGGCAAGGTCAAGGTAGTTGACCTGGAGAGCGTGTGCGAGGAAACTGAGGAGGACCGGGAGTACTCTGTCTATACCCATTGCATACATATTATGACACAATACTCTAGATACTTGGCAAGTCTATCTGATCCTAATAGTTGGTTCTAATATAATCCATCAACACTTCACACACTAAAAATTGTATATTAAGGGAGCAGGTAAAAACGAGTCTCAAGGCTCGTACAGCATATCGCCTAATATTAGTGGCTGTGGCTGTGGCTGTGGCTGGAGGAGTTGTACAAGGCAGAGGCTGCAGCGCTCGCAGCGCTCGCAACACTACATAAAACTTGACGGTGGTTTTCATCATAGCGTCAGAAATGGGGGCAATTCGAAACAACTTTGGCTCTATTTCTGTCATTTCGTGTGAGCTCTGGGTGTCGGTGGAGAGGAAGGAAAAAGTGGCGTCAGTTCCTGGAGATGCCTCTCCACAGGGCGCGCAGAGCGTAGTGTCCTGGCTGAACTTTGCTTGAAATGTGTAGTGATGAAGGATTGAGTTTCATCTATCGGCCATCATGTAAAAAGGTTATTAACAAAGTTAATTTCTTAGATTAAAAGCACACGGCTATACCAGCTCACAGGCCCGTACCGCTTGCATGGCTTGGGTAGTAAACTGCGAACAAGGCTACCGTAATCACAGCGGTACTATACAAATGTTGCACCAAGTCACTACTAATAATAAATGAGGCGGACTCTGCTATTCAAGTCGACCACATCCAATCCCCCTCGTTCGGTTCTTTTAGAAGAAGATATCCGTACATGATGGAAGCGACAGCAGCACTCGTCGCTTCAGGCCGATATGGACCAATTGATCGAAAAGCGCCCGTCTCAAATGGTGACCCACGCATCTCAACACGTTCTGTGGAGGATGGTTAATAATAACTCGATCGACCCCTCGTTCTATTCATGTTACAAGGAAGCATTTTCCTCCCTGCATTGACAAACGAACGTCCAGGTGCCTGATGTGTTACTGACTCGATGTCACGTAGAAATGAACTTGGCTTGATTCATACTGGCCTGCCTCTGCTCTCTTTCAGAATACACTTTACCCTTTCCAGGTAATAATTAAGTAATAAGAAGGCTCTGAACTAGTCATAAAAAGTAGATCATGTCCAGTAATCGCTTCCCCGCGGCCAAATCAAGACCCCGCTCTGCCGGCCAACCATTCCCCCACGAAGCCGAGGTGCTCGACGAATAGTCTAGTGCGTATTGACAGACATTGCAGCTGACGTGCCGTTGCTGACGCTGTAACCATGACCCCTCACAAACATCATCATCATCATCATCATCATCATCTCCCTCTCAAGCAGAGCGATTAACACCACCATGGCCCCTTCAGTCAATCCCAATCAGCCCGCTGGCGGCGAGGAGAAAAAGTTCCGCTACGACTTCTCCGCCAAGGGCGGCTTCCCGCAGCCTCTCACCTTTAAGGATAAGCGCGAGGAGCGCGAGTATCTCAAGGGGCGCCTCACGGCCGCCTTTCGCATCTTTGCCAAGTATGGCTTGAATGAGGGCGTCGCTGGCCACATTACCCTGCGGGTACGAGATCCCCCCCCACTACGTTACTAGGGCCCGTGATGGAAGATAACTGACGCGGATGGATTGCCGAACTAGGATCCGGTTGAGCCGGATACGTTTTGGGTGAACCCTCTTGGCGTCTCCTTTGCGCTGATCAAGCGGTCCGATCTCGTGCGCCTCGACGACGAGGGCAAGGTGATTGACCACGGAGACTGCAAGCTCGTGAACCAATCCGCCTTTCTCATCCACGCTGCCGGTACGCAAGAAAAAAAAAAAGCCCGTTGCCCGCAGGAATCGGCCCATTACTCCATAACTACGCCAGACGCTAACGGCAGAGGGGAAACAAGTGCACCGTGCCCGCCCGGATGTCATCTGCGCCGCCCACGCGCACTCGTTCTACGGGCGGACCTTTTCCGGCCTGGGCCTGCCGCTGGCCTTCATCTCGCAGGACGCGTGCACGTTCTACAACGACATTGCGCTGTACGACCAGTTTGACGGCATCGTGCTCGGCGGCCGCGAGGGCGACGTCATCGCCGCGGCCATGGGCGGCAGCAAGGCCGTGATCCTGCGCAACCACGGCCTGCTGACGGCGGGCGCCTCGATCGAGGCCGCCGTCTTCTGGTTCGTCGCGCTCGAGAGCCTCTGCCACTCGCAGCTCGTCGCCATGGCCGCGTGCGCGCACCCGGGCGTCACGCTCAAGGAGGTCGGCCATGCCGAGGCCCAGGAGACGTACGACACGCTCGGCCAGCATGCCACGGCCTGGTTCTCGGCAAAGCCCATGTTTGACCTTATAGCGCACGAGACGGGGGAGGACTACCTGCAATAGGTTGTTGCAAGAAATATTGATTCTGTTTTGTCGTACATGTGTAGGAAATGGAACAAGATATGTACGCATTCGGATCGCGGGTCTATTTGGAGTGGCTAGTGAGTCAGTGACGCTCAATTTGACAAACTTACCCACTTCGTTACGTGTCTACTGTAACTAATAGTTAGCCACCGTATACATTTTCGGCTGGCCTTGGCAAACGCGGCTGAAAGAATGAATTGGAACATGGATAAATCACATATTGTGGCTGAAAGAGGCTGAACCGCGTTGTTGTAGGAAAACTCTCCGAAGGCCGGGCTTCACCGCTGCCGACATGTTTAACTAGTAATTCAGGCTCGTGGGAGAAGCGGACTTGCCATTGCAATGCAATTGTTCAGCTGTTGGGGGCTGCAGGAGCTCCCTCGGCTACTTTGACCAGAATCAGGCCATGTAGCGGAGATGTTTGTTCGGCACATGGTCGAGATGGACTGATCTGTCGGAATCTGCTTCCTCTCTGTTGTCAATGGACCGTTGCTGGGCCATGGGCTCGTTTGTGCACGAACAGCTTGACAATGGGCCATTATTGGCGATGGCTTGTTGCATAATCCGTACTAACAAGATCATAAATTATCATCAATTCCCTAGCTTAAAATTGAACGCCACCGCTCGGGCTATCGCTACCAGACAGGCGGTGCCTCGTTGTGCCTTGGGCTGCGCGGAACCAGGCCACGGTCTTGTTGTTTTCCCCGTTCAGGCGATAGCTCGGGGCGTGATTGGGTGGCCTGCTCGGAGACGGACCTGTCACGATGCAGTGTTGGTGCACAATGGGCTCTCCGACTGTTCTTAGTGAACAACTAGTCAACAAAGACAGAAAACTCCGCATACATGACTGCTTCTGCCCGCCCAGCTGAAGTCGCCAACACAGACTATCGACTCCACTAGTCGCCCGCCTTCCCTGTCCCCAGCGGCGTAGCTGAGAAGCCTCGAAATTCAAGCCCTGCCCATGCCCCAGCCCATTTCTCGTTGAATCAAAGTCTTGCCTGTTCTAGACTTTGAGAGCCTCAATGCATGCGAGCGCCACCTGTTGGGCAACAACACGGACATGGCTTGAAGCTGAGCAAAGTAACTAGGGGCATTGATGAAATTAGCAAACAATACGGCTTATGTATTCGTAGACCTCTGGTTTATTGGTCTCGATGGGCGCATCGGGAGTCAACGTGGCTAGCGTTGCATTGGAGAAGCGTACCTGGTCGAGAGCTCCTCGGACCGTCTTGTAAACAGAGGCGTCAAAAGCCGTGTGGATATTCAACGCCTCGAGCATGAAGATGTAGATGTATATATAGATGCATCAATGCCTCCTCTGCTCATGGTGACATCTTCTCCCTCCACAACTCACCTCCTCCCCATCTCAACTCACCCCCTCAAACCAAATCAACACCAAGCACCATGCAGACCTTCATTGGACTCGTCGCTCTGGCCCTGCTGCCTTCCGTGCTGGCCACCGAGTGCGCCGCCGACAACTGCGCCCGCGCCGTCACCGGCACCCGCCGCGGTGATCCCTTTGTCACCCAGGCCCAGAGCGACTGCAGCCACTTCCAGCAAAAGACCATCACGGCCCCTGCTGTGTAAGCAAAAACCCCCCAGAAAAGAACCCGCCGTTCCTCTTTTACCCGTCTAACGAGTTCTCGTGCCTGATTAGCACCATCACCTCCACCGTTGCGCCTCCGTGGTACGCCACGGCCTGCTCGGGCACTGTCCGCTATGCTAGCGCCTGCTCGTGCTGGGGCATCACCGGCGATGCCGTCACCGTCACTCCTGTAAGGCTACCCGTCCCGTCTGCGCTTGCGCCTGTACCTTGCCATAGCTGGAGGCCGGCTTTCACGCAACGAATCGGTACTAACATGGCTTTGTTATAGACCACTACCATCACCACCACTCTTGATGCCGTCCCGAGCTTTGCGAAATAAAGGATGGAAAGGACATGGCAGGAAGGGGTTCGTTTTCATAGAAACATAATCACACCTCATTAGCCAATTGACTTTTGTCTTTCCAATATCGCTCGAATTTCGCTTCCGGGTGGCAAGTGACCAACACCTGTCTCTTGCTGCGGGACATGGGGTCAAGAGCGCCTCTGAGGCAATGAGCGATTGACTGTCATGTCGCCATATAGTGACCCTGTAACTGCGAATTGTTTACGACACAATTATCATAAATCCTGTCTAGTCTGCGCAGATTAGGTGGCAGCGCCAGGCTGACATCGCGCGGCCAGCGTACTGGTGCGAAGACGCCGCATCAGAGTGGTTGGCGTAGACAAGCAGGTGCATAATATTAATTAAATTAGACTATTGATGGTGACAAGACTATTCGGCTTGGCATCTCCACAACCGATCGGTAGCTTAGACGGTGAAGCGAAATGTGTCTCGTTTTGGGTTTCTTCATAGTACAACAATGAACGATGGATTGGAAAGAGAAACGCTGCGAAAAAAAACATAGTATAGCAATGAGCGATCAATTGGAAAGGAAACGCCTTGAAAAGGCCTAGTCAAGCTTGCCGCTAGAAGCAAAAAATATATCCAGGTATAGTCAAGCGCATCATCAGCAAATGGGGTAACTGGGCACCTGGTCCATCGTGCAAGTGCCCCGACTTACACAGTCATCGCTGCGCTTTGCGCAGCTAACATACAGCGACTTGAAGCTCCAGCCGCCGGACCAGAGCGAGCGGCACGTATTCCTGCTCGCGTAGCCGTAGCCGAACCACTTGCCCGCGCAGCCGGGCTGTTCCCAGTAGCTGATGCGGACCTCGCCGTCCGGACAGCTGCCGGCGGCGGCGATATCCAGGCTGCCGACCGCGCAGCCCGTGTCGATGCAACTACCGCCGCCGACCACCACGTCGTTGTGCACCGCCCGTGCAGTCGGCGCGGTACCGCGTCTTCAGGCTCAACGCCGCGCGGCAGGTCCCCACCGCCGGCTCCGGCGCCGGCACGCACGTGCCCTGCTCCACGCAGTCCTGCGCCCCCGGCTCCGCGCACGACACCCACAGCGACCGGAAGTTCCACCCGTTGGACCACAGCCCCCGGCACGTGCCCCGGCTGCCGTATCCGTACCCGTACCAGTCGCCCGCGCAGTCCGCGTCCTGCCAGTAGCTCAGGCGCACCCGGCCGCTCGGGCAGCTGCCGGCGGACGGGATCTCCAGGCTGCCGACGCCGCAGTTTGTGTTGACGCACATGCCGTTGCCGCGCGGCACGCTGACCTGGTTGTTCGCGCTGCCGGCGCACCCGGTGCTGTAGTGCGTGTTGAGGGTAAACGCCGCGGCGGAGGCAGTGCCGCCGTCGTAGTCGATGCTGGCGACGGTGCCGAGAATGGTGCGGTCCGCGGAGAGCAGGTACGCCTTGTACGTGCCGGCTTTCATGGTGCTGGGCGGCTTGATCTGCAGCGAGCCCGCGCTCTTGTCGGCGTACGCCCACGCGGTGCTGCCGGACTGTGGCGCCTGCGCATCGGCGACGGGCCAGATGCCGATCCAGTTGTCGCTGGCGGGCCGGCTGGCGGCGTACGTGAATGTGAAGAGCGGGCTGCTGCTGTCGAGCGAGAGCTGGTCCTGGACCACCTCGGTAAAGATGCGGATATCCTTGATCTGGAAGAAGAAGTTCTTAAACGCCTGCGGGTTCTCGGCCACGTAGTCGATGCAGGTCGGCGCGCCGGTCACGGTCTCGCAGGTCGGCCCGCTCTTGCCGTCCGCGGCCAGGGCGGACCAGAACTGGGGGTTGCCGGGGGGATTGCCGCAAAACGGGAGGGTGAAGAGCAGCTTCTGGTCGGAAAAGGCCGTCTCCGTGTCGCAGCTGGGCTTCTTGAGCTGCACCGAGGGCGTCCCCCACGACGACGTGTCGGGCTTGTCGGCGCCGATGTTGCTGGGCGCCGCGCCGATCGGCCAAGTGTACACCTTGATGAAGTCGCTGGTCCATTCGAGGGCCTCTATTGCAGGGCGAGGATCCGTTAGCAATTGGGCGTCATGTTAGTACAATTGGGCTGGAGACGTACGGATGCCGCCCTGGGACGAGCCCCAGATTCCATTCTGAATCTCCTCCGACTGGCAGCCCTGGTTTAAAAATTGATGCACGCCGTCTTGGAACGAGTTGTCGCAGTTGCCGGTCAGGACCTGGGCTGTCTGGGAAGACTGGTCCAGGACGCACTTGCCGATGGCGCTGCTGGGGCCGACGTGCAGGGCCACCTTGTTCGCCGGCGCGAGATGCCAGCCCTCGTATAGATCAATCTCGCCGGCCGTGGGCCATTCGCCGGTGCCAACGGTCCAGCTAAGTTGCAGTCAGTCATGCAACTCTCGGCCTCAATACGGACTCGTTCCTGCTTACTACCCGGACCAGGCACCGCAGACAGGCTGCGGCATGTGGCTGAACCGTGTGATGACCAGGCCGTGCTTGAACGCGCTCTTGGACTGGACGCGCAGCGTGGGCCGTCCCGGGCCTTTGACCTGCGCAGGCAGCTGGTTGGTGTAGTCGACGCCGAGATAGACCTCGCCGTTCTTGACAGCCGCAAGCCCTTTGTTGATGGCGTTGGTCTTGGTCTGGTATGTCACCCAGGACCAGTTGTCGTCGGGTTGGTCCGTGATGGTGCCGGTCTTGCGGAGCCGTCGTTAGCTTCTCCCCAAAATCCCGTGCCAAAAGTCGAGAGCTTGGTAGGCCGCAACGTACCGTCTGAAAGTCAAACTCGTCAAAGAAATTAGAAGCGTCATACGTCTTAGACAGCGCGTAGCTCCGACCCGCGGCCTGGCCGGCAATGGCGAGCACCGCGAGGGCGCAAGACACCAACGACGACATGTTTTCAGGCGTGTAGCAAGGAATGGGCTACAGGGTGCAGTGCAAGATAAGTGATATCAACAAAGTCGACTTAGTGGCAGCAGAACACGCTTCGGACGCTTCTGGTAAGGGGGCACGTGCCGGGTTATATTCCCGTCTGTAGTCTTCTCCATTGGCGGGGCTTGGGCAGAAGCAAAGGACCAGACTCTTCTTAACCAAAAGTATGCTATTACAGACGGTCCTTTTGTGGCGCTCAATAGTGTGCTAATGGAATGTAGATTTCCATTTCAAGAAAGCCTTGACCACCACCATGGGCTTCAACCCGACCAACCCCACTCACCCCTGCTTCGACAGGCACAGGGCGAAACTAATTGGGTCATTGTTGAAGACGGGTGTTGTTCCGCGTGAGTCGTCATTCGTCAGCGTGCCTGGCGAGTTGGGATTTTCTGGCCATCCGGCAACACCGCGATGCTTGTTGGTACTGTGGCAGAGGACAACTTGCAAGCCGAGTGACTCGTTGTCTTCATTTCGGACATGTCCACAGAGTAGTTATTGCGCCACAATTGAATCCTTCTCTGCTTTTAGTATCCGTATTCAACGCCGAGTGGATCAGCTGGTGGTAGCCACAGCGCCCTCCTTTCCAGATTTAACGTTAGCCAGCACGATGCCACCTCGATTACTGCTCCCAAGCTAACTAAGATATAACTACGGAGTACACAGAGAAGCGTGGAAACTTGCTCTCTCGTCGGGTGGAGAGTTGCTGTTGCATCAATTCGGAACCAACAGCGCTGACAAGTGCAACCCGGTTGCCTACGCATAAATGTTCCAGCATTTTTGGACATTCACTCCCATTGATCAGACGACACTCACGAACCGCTAGCACACCACCTCAGCTCATGGTGGAGATTTTCTTCAAGTTACCCCTGGCCATCACCTCCCTTGCCGCGCTCGCACAGCCTTACCGTTACATTGCAATTTCCACTATGCAACCGCCCAGGTGGCTTCGAGACCAATTTCCAGATCACAAAGCCTCGTACTCGACCATCATGGGAGGGGAGGCGCCGACGCCCGAGAGGCATCGCAGGCTATTGGGCTTAGTGCGTCAGATCATTCGCTAGCATGGGATGGCCGCAACGAGTTTCCTTGCAGCATTTTCTTTGATGGAGGAATGCCAAGTTTGGACTCACGTTGTGATCGACTCTGACCCACCATGCAAAGGGATGACAGCTGCGCTAATAACGTGCATGCATCAATTAGAAGCACTCTACAAAGCAGGCTACCAGATCAGTCTGGAGTTGTAAATGCAGGAAATGTACGAGTTCCTTTTGAAGAGAACATACGTCCCATATGGCATCAGGTGAAACTTTTTTCTTCTAAATGCTGAAATTTTTACAATCCCCGCAAAACGAAAGACAACCCAGCGGAATCTACGGATCACATGCAAGTGGGTTGCGTCCATTGTACCCAGTCGTCGTTACCCGTTCCGGGATGCTTTGCATTTACTAGCATAGATGTAACTACATCTTCAATTGGAATTTCTATGGTGCTTGTTTTACCTGAACTGATGATGGATGCTCACTGTAGCCGCCGGATAATACATTCGAGGGGCTCGCTCGGGTTGTCCGCAAAAACCTTGTTGCGCTGACGGATCAAGAATCTCAGGACACTAATAAATAAGATATCAGAAATTATTGTGAGATGTAATGGAATACTCCGAACCGGCTTTTTCCGTATTTACCGCTCAAAGTTGTTGTAAGTCATCACCTGCCCGATTGCTACCCTACACCGACCCTGTACGGCAGGCGAGCCGTCAGAGATGACGAACAAAATTTCCTTTTTCCTGTATAGTATGCCTGTATCTGTTACGGTCGCTCTTTGGATGTAACATGCTCGACGTAATTAAGCCCATATACCCAAACTCAGAGAAAAACGAAGCTGTTTTGGGAATGTACGAGCTCAAGCCAGACGGATATTTTGCGATCAGGCATCGCCTTTGTGAGCAAGTATTCAATTAAGACTATACATTATGTTGCTTAGTTCTCCTTACATTATTTATTAGTAGCCGTCCAGCACTTTGCATATCGTCTGTGAATTACTCCCGAGATGCATACGACTACCAGTCCTGCTCGGGACTCTGGTACTACTGCCATTCCACTAATGACAGAGCAGAAAACAAGCCTGAGAGGAACAATGTAGGGTAAAGTACATAATCAGAAGAAAATTTGTTAAACTCTTATCTTTGTAATTTTAATTGCACTGGGTCTATTCCAAAGTGGAAGCAGCTTCCGGTACAACGGGCGCCAGGCGTCAAGTATCACTTGGCTATTCAGTTCCTGGTAGCGGCCAAGTCGGAAAAGTTCGAAAACTACATACATAACACCTAAATCGCTAGTATAGCACTCTAGGATGCCAGAAACTTCAGGTAATCGTCAGTTTCAAGACCACAGTCTGGTGGCCGATAGGATTGACGATGGCCAGGGAAAGCATATGGTCGACAACAACATAAACTTGGGCAAGCTGCATTGTGACAGCCGAAGTCGAGTTGAAGTAGAACAGATTCAATAAAGTCCTTCGTTTGGACAGAGTAGATGTAAAGCTGGGGCCTGTATATTTACCGTCTGTGTAGAGCCGCCTCCCCTCCTGCATCTCTGTCCGGTAAATCACAAGGGCAGCCATTTTATTTCATTGATAAATCAACATCCTAGCCCAGTTAAAGCTGTGGCTTGGACAGGTAATACCAGTCACTTGCTCTGTTTGCGCTTTCCGGCGCGGTCCTTTCCGATTGTCTGTAAAGACGGCGGGAAGCCGGATTCAGAGCACATGAACAGGCTTATATTGTGCGGTTCAAAGATGACCTATGCTATTTTCGCAATAGATAGCAAAGTCAAGTGCATATTTACACCTAGGAAATGACATGCACCAAGTCATCCTAGACTCGTACGACCTAATTTCTCTCTGGGTCTGTTCATATCACTTATTCACCATGTAAATCTTGCCTTGACTAAACAATTACATCTATTTTGATGTACTCGTTTCCACAAAAATACAGGAATGATTCGTTATCAATACGTATCCCTCGCAAAATTATATTCAGGCACTTTACGTATCGCAAGGTGGTGGGTTGATAGAGACGAGTCCACCGAGGGAATGGGGTCTGTCAGTATCGGCCTATTCTCGTAGAATGGACGTCGGGGATTTATCTAGATGCCGTGATACGGTGAAACGACGAGTTACAAGCGGTGGATGATGAGCCGATAAAGGAGCACATGCGAATTCAAGCAAGCATGTCACCGGCGACGGGCAGGCACGGAAAGGCGAGGCTACAAAAGTCCCACTAGCTCAGAATAGCCCGTCAAGCGCGAAACAAAAATCCCCTCTGGACCGGAGCATGTCCCAATTAGTAGGATAAATGATCATACAAGTGCCGCACTGCCGACTTAGCAGTTGTCATTAACGCCACAGGAAGGTCAATCCTCAGCCACGGCGACGCTGAGATGGGAAACGAATCGCGTGGTCACTGGTTGGGTGAAGCGTGGGATGGGATGTGACACTGAGTGGGGTACATGATTTCTTGAAAGAAATCATGTAGCATCTCTGCTATTACTAATAAATGCCTGGGGGACACGCGAGTCTAACAAGCTCTGAGCCAGTTCGTAATAGTGTGCGGTGGTCCAAGGCGGTACGACCCCGTAGATCTCTCCGTTGCCGCTGTGGTACGGCGGGAGGACAAGCTCAACAAAGAAGAATAACCCAGCTATCGGGATAAAATGGACATTGTAGACGCAAGAGGTAAAATTCCCGAAAAGGCTGCGTGGCTCCTAGCCGAGTAAGAGGCCAAATTCACCCGCAGCAAGAGGATGCAAGTATGACGTGCCAAACTCTTCTAGTGGCTAGACTATTGCACTCAAGAAATAAGCGAGTGGCGTGGATAAGCTTGTGACATATTATGTAGATTTTTGTGCAGGATTTAGTTTACTGTGGTCAAGACACTATCGTGATGTGCTGGCAGAAAAGAGTACAGGGAGAGTACAGGGAGAGTACAGGGTGAATACAGGGCACAGAGAGGATACAGTGAAGACCCCCGATGGTGACTGCAGTGGCATAAACTGTCGTTGCCATCGGCTAGGGGTTATGATGCCTCTGTAAAATTTTGCCTTGGTCATTTTCTGTAATAGTGTGCGTATACGAATTAATGATTTATTATTTACATAGTTGTGACTCTGCACCCCGTTTCCAGGGTCGACGCGCTTACTGCCAGTGCCACATCTTCAGCAGGAGCTATAATAAATAGATTGGGTCATCACACATGCCACACATCAATCGGCAGTATAAAAATTTATAAACGAGATTCGGGCGAGCAATATGTGGAGAAGACCGTTGGGTAATTGAAACCAGATATGGCGGAATATCAAACTTTTTCCCCCCCTTGTTGCTATCCCTCTCGGATCATTCAGCGATGAAACAGAAAGACAGGTTACAGCGCCACCAACACCAACCCCAGCCGCCCCCATTCCGACGCCCAGATTTTCCAGTAACTAATTATGTACATCCGTCCACGAACTTTTTACGTGATCAATCCACCACAATAGGTTCCGTGCGGGGAAAAGTGGGAGCAATGGTTCCCGGTGGCGGAAGACCAGTTTGTTCTATTTTGTCTCTCCAAGCGCTTCCTCTTGCCAGGAGGCCTACGTACAGAAGTAATAAAAGCCATCCGAAAAAGACATGACGGGGGCGATATAGAATGTCGACTCGGATATTGTCCGAAAACGGCAAGTGTCATGCACCAAGGAAGCAAGGTGAGATTGCCGTGCAGGATAATACCATGTTTCCAGTATTATCTTTGGCAAGGGAAAGAGGCCGCTGATTCGTCGCCCTGAGCTGAGAGACAACAGGCCACCACTCTATCCTAGCAGCAGACGCACGGCTTGCCTTGATTTTCCATCGCCATCACGTAACTACCGGTGTTGTGGCGATCCCCCGGCCGCCCAGCGCCACCAAAGGAATGCCCAGACGGAAGTCGGCCATAGTCGACGCCTGCCAAAGTCTTGGCCCGAGCAGTCTGAAAAGCTGGGCGATTTGATTTTCCTTGGCGAGCTAGTTACTGAAAACTGTATGTACACAGAGTTGCTGGCAGCTTGTCGCCGCCCCCCCGCGGCTAAAGGGGATCAAGCCCCCCCCTCCAAGAACAAAAGTTCCTGAGATAGCTAGGGGCCAACTGCCTATTCCGTGTTAGCTATCGAGCTGAATTCGCGCCATCGCCCGACAGGGGTCTTCGGTTGGACAGATGCCCGGCCCCCCTCCCCCCTCCACCAACGGCCTGATAACAGAGAAGCGCTTCAACGTCAGCCGCTCAGACTCTTTGGCAACGGGTGGCGCTCTTGTTCAGACCTTTTTCAAGACCCTTGAGCTTCCAACGCGATCTCTTGGCCCCCCCCCCTTGGCTGCCGGTCAGCGACCCCGTTCCGTATCGCACTAGCGGATACAGTAGTTCGAATTCGCTTCTGCTCTGCCAACAAAGGCCCCTTTGCTCAAGGGGATTTTTGTTCTAGAGGCTGAAATCGGACCGCTCAATAGGAAGGTGGCCTGCGTCGAGTCGTGCCTATGCGCAGTGTTGCGTGTGCCGCTGTTCCGCGCCACCAAACCTGCCCGTCGCCATTCAAACGCTGTGTTGCATTACCCAGTCGTTTATTGGCCACCGCTATTTGGAACGTGGACAAGGCAGTCTTACTTTGGTTATATACTACCATGCCTCCTCGGCTCACCCCCAAGATTCCTGCATCTCATCTCGTGTGTGTGTATGTGTGTGCCTGCGCAGAGTACCGCCGCCTCTGCTGCTCCCGGCGCCCTCGTATTAGCCCTTGACACTTCCTCTTGACTTCCCATCTACACCCCAGAACCCCCCGCCGTCATGACGGAAAAGACCCCCTACGAGCAAGACATTGTCGCGCACGACAATGGCTCGCCGCCGCCGCCCGCGCACCCGGACGGCGTCGAGCACAAGACGGACCTGAACCACGTCGTGTCGGCCTTTGGCGGCGACGGGCACGACGCCGTGGCGCCGCGCGACGACCTCAAGCTCGTGGTGGACCGCGTCGACGAGATTTCCACCGACGAGGCGCGGCAGATCCTCACCGACATGCTCGCGTACCACGAGTACGACTACAACTTCCCGTCGACGACGCGCGACCGCATGGAGCAGCTGCTCGCGGGGCCCGGCGACAAGGGCGCCGAGGAGGACTGGTCGCTCGAGATCCGCGCCGAGGCCGCGCTCAACCGCTTCTACTCGCCGTACCCCGAGGTGCGCGCCATCACCACGCCCGACGACGACCCGGACATGACGTGCGAGACGGTCCGCGCCCACCTGCTCGGCTACGTCTGGGCCGTCGTCGGCCAGTTCACAAACGCCCTCTTCCAGTCGCGCTTCCCGAGCATCACCATCACCTCGGCCGTCATCCAGATCCTGCTGTACCCCTGCGGCCTGGCCTGCGCCTTTGCGCTGCCCGACTGGGGGTTCACGGTGCGCGGCCAGCGCATCTCGCTCAACCCGGGCCCGTGGACGTACAAGGAGCAGATGCTCAGCACCATCATCTTCAACGTCAGCCTCTCCACCGCGTACGTCTTCTACAACCTGCAGACCCAGGAGATCTTCTACGGCGATAAGTGGCTCAACCCGGGCTACGGCATCCTGCTGCTGCTCTCGACCCAGATGATGGGCATCGGCTTCTCCGGCCTTATGCGCCGCTTCGTCATCTACCCCGTCGAGGCCATCTGGCCGAGCGTGCTGCCGACGGTGGCGCTCAACCGCGCGCTGCTCGTCGGCGAGAGCCGCGAGTCCATCCACGGCTGGACCATCTCGCGGTACCGCTTCTTCTTTGTCGTCTTTGGCGCCATGTTCCTCTACTTCTGGATCCCCGACTACCTGTTTACCGCGCTGAGCACCTTTGCGTGGATGTGCTGGATCGCGCCCAACAACTTCAAGGTCAACCTCATCACCGGCTCCCAGGGCGGGCTCGGCTTCAACCCGATCCCCACGTTTGACTGGAACATCATGAGCTACGCGTACCAGCCGCTGCAGACGCCGTTCTTCGCCGCCATCCAGCAGTTTGCCGGCGCGCTCATCGGCGGCCTCATCATCATCGGCATCTACTTTACCAATATCAGCAACACGGCCTACCTGCCCATCAACTCGTCGGGCATCTTCAACAATACTGGCGGCCGCTACGAGATTAAGAAGATTCTCGTCCCGGGCACCGCCATCATCAACCAGACGGCGTACGAGGAGTACTCGCCAGCCTTTTATTCCGCCGGCAACCTCATGCTGTACGGCGCCTTCTTTGCCTTTTACCCGCTTACGATGGTCTTTATCTGCCTGGACGCCTGGCGGCCGCTTCTGCGCTCCTTCAAGTCCATGTTCCGCTCGGCCATTGCCCTGATCCAGCGGACCATCTCCGGAACTGCCCGCACCGCCAAGGCCGTGGTGACGGGTCGCTTCCGCGAGGCCGGGCAGCACATCCACGCGATGGCGAGCTATGACGATTCCATCTACGACGGCTTCGACAACCCGCTCACGGATCTCATGCGGGCGTATCCCGAAGTGCCCGACTGGTGGTTCCTCTCCATCGCCTTCATCGCCTTCATCTTTTCCATCATCATCCTGACGACGTGGACGCAGCTGGACACGCCGGTGTGGACCATCTTCTTCGTCATCGGGCTCAACCTCGTGTTCCTCGTGCCGATGAGCTACCTGTACGCCATCTCGGGCACGACCGAGGGCCTCAACGTGGTGACGGAGCTCATTGTCGGGTACGCGCTGCCGGGCCACCCGGAGGCGCTCATGTTCGTCAAGGCGTTTGGCTACAACATCAACGGCCAGGCGGACAACTACCTCGGCGACCAGAAGATGGGCTTCTACGCCAAGGTGCCGCCGCGCGCCATGTACCGCGGGCAGGTCATCAGCGCCGTCATCACCGCCCTCGTGTGCTACGCCGTCGTCGACTTTGTCGACCACAACATCGAGGGCATCTGCACGCCCGGCCAGAAGCAGCGCTTCACCTGCGCCGGCTCCGCCGTCGTCTTCTTCTCCTCGTCCGTCGTCTGGGGCGCGCTCGGGCCGCAGCGCGTCTTTACCCAGATCTACCCCGCCATCAAGTACTGCTTCCTGCTTGGCTTCCTCCTGGCGCTGGTGTGGTGGACGGCCAAGCGATTTGGACCGAATGTGCGCGCCGGGGCCAGGGCGTCGCTGCCGGCTGGCGTATTCGGCCTGCTCAACCTCGGCCTGTTTGTTCCGCTTTCGTGGCTCAAGCATGTGCACCCGTCGCTCGTCTTCAACGGCATGATTGGCTGGGCGCCTACGAACCTGTCGTACTGGATTGGCGGCGTCTACGTCTCGGTCGCCTTCATGTGGTACCTCAAGCGCTACAAGCTGGCGTGGTGGGAAAAGTACAACTACGTCCTGGCTGCTGCGCTGCAGGGCGGCGTGGCGTTTTCGGCCATCATCATCTTCTTTGCGGTGCAGTGGAAGGAGGTTGACATCAACTGGTGGGGTAACCTTGTGAATGGAAACACGATGGATGGCGGCGGCGGTGATAACCCGCTGGTTCTGTTGACGGAGATGCCGGCCAAGGGTTACTTTGGACCTGACAAGTGGTATTAGTGATGACGAGCCGCCAGCATCTGGGATATGCTAGCTATGTTTATGTGAGAATAATGAATAGTGATTTATAAGAATGAATAATTTCGATACCTTGACAAACCAAATTAAAGCTATGTTTTGGCGTAAGATGTTACATCGGGTACTATGTAGTTATTAATAGATGCTGAAACGCCCCGTCCCTACTTAAGCACATTGCGAAGCGTCAGTTTAATAACTCTGTTGCATAACTTTATACGCTAATTATTAAGAAGATTGGCGCCAAACCGATAGTAAGACACCGTTACCAGTGATGTAACCTGGAAGTACTCCGTACATAGTGAGCTAAACCCCTCATCTCTGGCTCATCTCACACTTTCTCGGTTTATCCCTTGCACCATCCAGAAACCCCCATGTCTGCATCAGCACAGTGTGCAGAGCCCACAGCCTACCCAGTCTTCCTGCAAGATGCCGTCAAGGCGAACCGGGTGCTCATCGCACTCACCTTGCACTTCAACGACGTGCTCGACGTGCAAGTCGTCCGCGACTCACTCTCCCAATTGCTGCGCATCGGGCACTGGCGAAAGCTGACCGGCCGCCTCCATCAAAATGTACGCGCACCGGCCCTCGGACCGCTTCCTCCGCTAATCGGCGCGCCCCCACGGCAAAGGCTGACGGCGGCTGGCACGTACGCATACCGTCACAGCACACGCCGCAAGATCCCGACTTTGCCTTTTTCGAAAAGACGTACGCGGCGGAGCTGGCCTCGCACCCGATCGGCAAGCTGTATCCCGCAGCGACGCGCAAGGCCGCGACGCAGCCGCTCGACCCGGCCATCCGAGCGCTCCTCGTCCCCGACGGCTTTCCGGAGAGCTTCGACGCCTTGGTCGCGCGCCAGTGGCCGCAGCTCACCCTTTTCGCGTCCTCGTTCCGCGATGCCACCGTCCTGACGTTACTGCTGCCGCACACGGCCATGGACGCCAGCGCCATCACGGCCCTGCTCCGGAACTGGTCCCGCGTCATGGCCGGCGGCGCGGCGGGCAGTGTTGAGCGCGTCCACGGCGCCCCGGCAGACCCCCTCGCGGTCCTCGACCGCGGCGCGGAGACGCCCCCGCCGCCGCCGCATGTTCTCGACCGCCAGCGCATGACGTGGTGGCAAATCATCACATTCGTGGCCCTGTTCCTCTGGCGCAAAGTGACTTGGGGCGCTGCGGAGACGCGCCTGGTCTATCTGCCGGAGGAGGCGCTGCGGGCTCTCAAAGCTCGCACGATACGCGAGGCGCAGACATGTGCACCAGGACCCGATACGTTCCTGTCTGAGGGGGACATTCTGACAGCGTGGCTCAGTCGCCTGACGCTCGCCGGTACCGGGCGCCGGATCCCCGCGACGATCCTAGATGTGATTAATGCGCGCAACCAGATTCCCGCTGTAAAAAACGAAGAGGAGATTTTCCTCCAAAATCTACTCGGCGTCGCATTCACACCCCTGTCCGCAAAGGACATGCAGAGTTCCACGGGCGCCATTGCGTTGCGCCATCGCCGCTCCCTCACCCAGCAGCTCTCGGAGCCCGCGTTCACGCTCCATCTGCAACGGATGCGCCACGCTATACGGAAATCGCCTTTTAGTCTGCCGCCTGTTTTTTACGGGCACGCGTCCGCCCTGGTTCTCGTGTCTAACAACGTGAGCCGGCCGGGCTACGCGGCCGTGGTCGATTTTGGCCCGGCTGTGCTGGACGGCCCGCGCATGGAGAGGCGGAATGCGCCTGGGACACCCGTCTTCGCCATGACGATCCCGACAGACATGTCGGACATGATGGGCTTCATGTCCATTTGGGGAAAGGACAACCAGGGCGGGTTCTGGCTCTCGGCGACAATGAGTCGTGCCGGCTGGGGTCTTGTCGAGGAACATGTCGCGGATATAGAAAACTTCACTATTCCTTCAAGTTGATCACTCGTTGCTTGCCCGCAAACAGCCTTTGTAAGGGTTAGCAGGTTAGCTCAGACAGTTGACTACCAAAGAGATTCCTGAATTAATTCAGCAAGCATCGTGGATGGATGCCGCAGTGATGCACTGCCAACACTGTGTAGCAATGGGAATTTGAACGACTCTGGGCACAGAGTCACAGAAGCGCTGCCCGGTTAGAGGTTACGTACTGTCGCATAGCAAAAGGGTGGCACCGCATTTCTTGGTATTTTATTTCACCTCATATTCCATACACACACCGGGCCTGGAGTGGGTGGGTACATGACCCGAGCCACCCAGCAGGAGTCTATTTAACTCATGACGTGTCTCGCAGTGCCACGCCCGCAGCCAGCGCCCTCCCAGGACGGCCCCGGGATCCCGAACCCAGAACCCGCGCTGGGCCGCCGACTACGGCCAAAAGCAGCGCATCGTTCTGAGAAACGCGACCCTCTTTGACGGCCAGCGCTTCGTGGACCACGCCGTGGATATTGTCTTTTCCAGAGGCCTGGTCGAATCAGTGCAAGCGTCGGGCGGCGATAGCCATGACGGGAGCGCTCTTGTCTACAATCTCCACGGACGCTACGTCACCCCTGGCCTGGTCGACATGCACTCACACCACATGCTCTCCCCGTGGCCCGGAATGGATATGACGGCGGACGGGGCCGAGGTGCGCCCCGACACCAGGGCGGTGACGGGGCAGATGCGCGTCATCGACGCGCTTAAAGCGTACGACGAGGCGACGGCGATTATCGCCTCGGGCGGTGTTACCACCTCGCTCGTGATCCCCGGCTCTTCCAACCTCATCGGCGGCGAGGGCGCGCCCGTCAAGAACGCGCTGCACAGCGGCTCAGCCGCGGAGCCCGTCGTCGAGGATGTCCTGCTCGAGCGCGGGCTGCCGCCGCGCGCCCGCCGGCGCTACATGAAGATGGCCCTCGGCGAGAACCCCAAGGCCGTGTGGGGGTACAGCCGCCTCGGGAACGCGTGGCGGCTGCGCGAGCACTTCCAAAAGGCCAGGGACGTGATGCAGGCGCAGGACGACTACTGCGCGCGGCTACAGGTTGCGGAACAGGGGAGTGCCCGGACAAGATCCGACTTTGTAGCCGAGAACGCAAGGTTCCCGTTCAATCTCGAGCTCGAGAGCGTCGTGGCCCTGCTCCGCGGCCAGGTCTCGCTACACAATCACAACTACGAGCCGCAGGATCTCGAGACCATGGTGCGCATCAGCGAGGAGTTTGGGTTCGCGATTGCAGGGTTCCACCACGCGGTCGAGGCGTGGCAGGTGCCCGCGATGCTCAGCGAGCGTGTGCCCAACGTCACCATTGCCACCTTTGCCGAGTTCAGCTTGTACAAGCACGAGGCGTACTGGCCCAGCCTCTACGCCGGGCACGTCCTCGACAAGGGCGGCATCAAGGTGGCCTACAAGTCGGACCACGTGGAGTCGTTTACGAATGCAAAGTACCTGCTGTCTCAAGCGGCCGTGGCGCACGCTTTCCATCTGCCGGCGGAGAAGGCGCTGCAGGCCGTCACGGCGGTACCGGCGGCCGCCATGGACCAGGACCACCGCGGGGGCTATTGCAAGCCAGGCTACGACGCCGACATTGTCGTCTGGGACGATCATCCTCTCAACCGCGGCGCAACACCGCTGCAAGTGTTCATCGACGGCATTCCCCAGCTCAATGACACCATGGTGGAGAAGAGTACAGGCTCTTCTTGGTACTCGCCTTTGGCGGAAGGACCATCATCCCAGGTTATGCCTCAAGTTAAGTACGAGCCAGACGACAAGACCCGTCGTGACAAATGCCAGGGGATGAAAAACGCAAGCGGCAACATGATTATATCCGGCATTCGCCGTACTTTTGCACTGGACTATCCCGAACTGGCGAGCGAGCAGGTGGCCGCCGGGACGGGCTCCCTCCAACTCATCCTCGAGAACGGCCGGCTCGTGTGCGCCGGAACGCCGGCGACGTGCCGGGAAAGCCGTGCCCGGATCGAAGCGACAACGGGCTCCACGCACCTCCGTCTGACCAATGGCCACGTGGCGCCGGGCCTGAGCGCGCTCACCAATGCGCTGGGCGTGCGCGAAATCGCCACTGATCCGTCCACGGGCGACGGCGGCGCGGGCAGGCAGAGCCTCGCGGACCCTGCCAGCATCCTGTACGCCAAGCACGGCGCGGCGCTCGACGGCAAGGCGTTTGCGCGCGCGCGCCTCGGCGGCGTCACGCGTGCCGTCACAGCGCCCGTCGCGGATGGCGCGCCGCTGTTTGTATCCGGCGTCAGCGTCGAGATCCGGACGGGCGGCACGCAGAGCCTGCTGCACGGCGGTATCGTACAGGAAGAGGTCGCGCTGCACGTGGCGCTGGGCGAGGCGGCGAGGGCGGATGAAGGCGCCGTGAGTCGCGGCGTGCAGAAGATTCGCACGATGCTCGAGGACGGACGGGGAAGACACAACGAGACGGTGTTTGGACGGGTCGCGACGGGTCGGCTCCCGCTGCTCGTCTATGCGGACAACAAGGTGCGTGCAGAGAATATTTGATTTATTCGAAAATATTATGGGCCGAGCTGACACGAATGGTAAACAGTACGAGATTGAGCAGCTGATTTGGATCAAAAAGGACTTTGCCGACACGAACCTGGTGCTTGTCGGTGCGATGGAGGCCCCCTTTGTACGCCTCATCCGCGATGAACAGCTATCTAACGCAAGACTGACAAGATGCATAGGTAGCCAAGGATCTTGCGGCGGCAGGAATCCCCGTCATATTGACGCGCGACCGCGGCGCTCCCACCACCTTTGGTACGCGAGACGGGTTCGTGGGCCCGCCGCTGACACGCAGCATCGCCAGCTATCTGAAGGACGCCGGCGTCAAGTTTGGCCTCGCTTTGCTGGAGCCGGGTATGAAGCTGTCTACGCTGCCGTCCATCTGCCCAACCGCTAACACGCCGCAGGCATGCCGTCCGACTACAAGATCCACGACCTGTTGCCCGAGGCCGGCTGGACCGCGAAGTACGCGGGGCTGCGCGACGACGAGGCCGTTGCGCTCGTGACCCGCAACGTGGAGGACATTCTCGACCTGAAGCACAGGAACAGGGACATCGTTGTGTATGAGGGAAACCCGCTGTACTATGGCGCGACGGTCGCGCTCGTATTGGCGGAAAGTGAGGAGACGGGGAGGCTGGACGTCGTGGGCTGCTTTCCGCGGGAGAATGAGATGGTTGTTACTACGGGGAGCTTGGCGTAGCTGTTGAATGTGGTTTTTGTGGACGGTGTAGATTTGATTGTCCGAGTCGCTTGCATTTTCGGGTGGTGTTTCTCGCGATGTGAAATGAGGAGGAATGCAGCGCAAACACCTGGTGCGGGTGTTTGTATCCGTATCCGTATTACAAACAATACGAATGACGTATTCTGTAAATAGAAGCTGTCGTCGGCCTTGACGGGGGATTGACTGGCGTGTATTAAAAATCCACCATCGCCATCTAGTTATGAACAGACTGACGGTGTTTGTTCAATCTAATTAAAACTAGGTATCGAGTTATATAGTTCATGCAACAATGCTGCAATCAAAGCGTTGTGTCACACTTAAGCAGGGGCACGTCTGCACGTCTCGTATAATTGAGACTAGCAAGTCTCAGGCTAGGTAAGCTTACCAGAGGTATTGGCAGGACGAAAAGCAAGGAGTTGCCAGAAAATTTCAATATTTTCAACAAAATTGCAAAGACAGCCTCGAGTAAATATTGCTGGCTTCAGGCACGTCGCAATGTGGTCCTCGCTCTTCGTGTCCGGTCTGCTCCTCGTCGGTAACAACTTCCCCATGGCGCCTCGTGATTTTTAGTTCTGCCACTAACCAAGCCCAGACACGGCGCTCGGCCAACTGCCTGGCATCCCGACCGTTCCCTTTGAAGCCGCCGACGGCAACAAGACGTTCTCGCTCGCGTCCGTCAGCACCGTCATTATCGATGCGAAGTTCGCAACGACAACGGACAAGGGCGGCCTGACGCTGATCCCCCCGACCCTGCGCGCGTTTGGCACCACGTTTGCGCAGGACCTCCAAGAGCTCCTCAACAAGACCGTCACGGCCCAGGACGGCGACCAGCGCGGGCCCAACACCATCTTCCTGACCATCGATGGCGACGGCGAATTCCTCGATGCCGCGGGCCGCCCGACGACAGAAGGGTACGCGATCGCGGTTAATGAGGACGGCGTCACGATCCGCGGCGCCAGCGCCCTCGGCGCCTGGTGGGGGACGCGCACGCTTCTGCAGCAAGCCGTCCTGGGCGACGGCGCGGTGCCTGTCGGCCAGGGCCGTGATGCGCCTGGCTGGTCGACGCGCGGCATGATGCTCGACTGCGGCCGCCACTGGTACCCCCCGGCGTTCCTCGTCGACCTGTGCGCCTACATGTCCTTTTTCAAGCAAAACACCTTTCACGTCCATCTCAGCGACAACACCATCGTGCCGACCTACACGCCCGACAATTACAACGAAACGTATGCCCGCTTCCGCCTCTGGTCCGACAACAGCGCGTTGGCCGGCCTCAACAGGCACCCCAACGAGTCGTACACCAGGGACGACTGGGACGACGTGCAGACCGGGTGCGCGCGGCGCGGCGTCACCGTCGTGCCCGAGATTGAAGCACCAGGCCACTGTCTGCCCATTGTGCAGTGGCGTCCGCAGATTGGCTATCAGGGCGACCTCAGCCTGCTCAACATCTCGCACCCGGATACGATGCCGACCATGAAGACCATCTGGAAAGAGTTCCTGCCGTGGTTCCACTCGTCTGTCGTCTCCATTGGTGCCGATGAGTACAAGGGGCCCGAGGAGGACTACAAGAAATTTGTCAACGAGATGACGGCGTTTATCAGCGCCGAGGCGAGTAAGTCGGTTCGCATCTGGGGTACTTTCCCCGCCGTCGCGCACCCCGGCTCGCCCACCACGATTGCCACCAACATCACCATGCAGCACTGGGCGTACCTCTTCGACAACCCGTACGAGGACTATATCAAGAACAACTACTCCGTCATCAACTCGGACGAGATGTACTACGTCGTCATGAAGGACGGCCCGTACGGTCGCGCCATCAACACCTCCACGACCTTCACAGGCAACCCCGACGGACATGGGCCCTGGTACCCGCACATCTTCAACCTGAGCGACCCGCGACAGAACCCGGCGCGCGACAATAAGCTCGTGCAGGGTGCCATCGCGCCCCTGTGGAACGACCACGGCGCCAACACCAGCGTCTACTCGGAGGCATACTACGCCTGGCGCGACGGCATCCCCGCGCTCGCCGACAAGCACTGGGGCGGCAACCTCACCCAGCACCAGTACGCCGCCTGGCTGTCCAAGTTGCGGGACAGGATTCCGGACCAGGATCTGGAGCGCCGCATTCCCTCCAAGCAGAGCACCGTGTTCTCGTATGATTTCCGCAGCGTCCAGGGCGAATCCATCGCCGACAAGTCCGGCAATCAGTACGACGCCAATACAACCTGCCAGGCGACCGGCGACGGCATGAACGTGTCGCCCGACTGCGCCATCACCACGCCCTGGCTGTCCAAAGGCAGAAACTACACCCTCTCCCTGACACTGCGCATCGACACACTGTCCAACGACAAAAACACAACCCTCGTAGCGGGGTCGGACTCGGCCCTTATGCTCACGCCAAACGTCACGTTGTTCGCGTCCGGCATCTACTACCGGCTCAACAAGACGATCCCGCTGCAGTCGTGGGTCCGTCTGGAGCTGAGCGCCCACGGACCGCGGACGTATGCGTCGGCCTTTGACGACAAGGGCCGCGCGCTCTTCTCCAAGGAGGAGTTTCTCGCAGAAATGAGCTACTACGGCGCGCCGTTGCGATGGCATGAAATGGCTATTGAGGCGCCCATACATCAAATCACGGGTTGGCAGGGCAAGGTTCGCGATTTCACGCTGACAACAGGCGTGGACGACGCGAAGCAGGGCGGGGCGTCTGTCATTAGAGGCCTGCCTGGTGCGTACTTGTTGGCTACGATGTTGGCTGTGGCCATGTACCTCAGTCTATAAGACTAGGAGGAAGGATGCAGTTTGTTGAATTTTTTGTATATGCAAACCCTTTCCCGCCATTTTCCTCCTTGTATATATGAAACCCCCATTCCCTCCATTTCAAGTATCTTGCCTGCATCTACTTAGACTATACTTTATTTTCTAATACACTAATATACAAAGTATAGAATGCGTTTCCAAGCCCAGACGTCCCGCCTGGCTCAATGTATCCAGCCGATATGTTTCCAAAACAGGACAATTCCACTGAGCGCAGCGGTAAAGCCTGTGAAGATGACCAAGGGCCCATACACTGTTCCGTACGCGCCATACGTCTTGACATGCCAGTAGTCGCCCACGAGCGCCTGGCTCAGCGGCCCCGACAAGACACTCCCGATGCCCCGGCCGGCCGCCAGCACCGAGAGCACCATGACGGGATCCGTCTCCTTGCACGCGTACCTGTCGCTAATGGCATCATCCGTCGTCATCTGCCGCATGAGGCCCGTCCACGCCGACGTGTACGAGCCGGCAAACAGGCCGTAAAAGGCGCAGTAAATCAGCAGCGACGGCACCGTCGTCGCGAACCCCCACAGCAGCACCGTAGCCAGCGCGGCGCCCACGGTCGCGATAAACAGGCACCGCGCCACGTGGTGGCTGTCCGACAGCCAGCCCATGACCGGGCAGCCAACCGCCGACGCCAAGTTGAGCAGCAGGATGGTGCTGGCGGACGCCACCCCGCCGGCGCCGAGAACCGACCGCGCGTACGTCGGCAGGAAGATGCTCGGCAGGAAGAAGCCGAGCGCCTGGCAGACGTTGGCGACCTGGTGGAGCAGAAACGTCTGGGTGAGGGCGAAGCGGAGGTTGAACGGGTGGTGCAGGGCGGCGGTGGGCGGCAGCCGCGGCTTGACAAAGTAGACGACGGGCAGGGTGGCGACGAGCAGGGTGGCGGCACAGACGCGCAGGGTGAGCGCGTGCCCGTGGCGGCCGAGCAGGTGCTGCAGCGCAAAGGGCAGCACGGAGCCGGAGAGCCCCGTGCCGGCCCACATGACGCCGTACGCGAGGCCCTTGCGCCGGTCGAACCACTCGTTGAGGAAGGCGATGCACGGGCAGTACGCGAGCGAGCTGCCGACGGCGAAGAGCACGCCCTGCGTGCCGATGAGCTGCGGCGCCGTCGTCGCGAGGGACGCGCCGAGCAGCGCGCCCGCCATGACGAGGATCCCCGCGAGAGGCGACCACACGCTGAGTCGAGGGCACAGGCGCTGGATGCCCATGGTCACGGGCATGCCTAGGTACATGATGCCCTGGAAGAAGTTAGACTGCAGGAATGGGACTCAATGGGGGAACGGGAACGTGCCATGGCAGAGGTCGACACTGTTGGCAGCAGCCTGGAGGAAGTCTGGAAGGGCGGGTGTGTTCTGTAGTAGTCCTGGAAGACACCGTACGCACCGGGAAAACCTGTCGAACGGCAAGGCACATGGCGTCAGTATTCTTCTGTCGGTCTTTTCTTTTTTGGCATCGTCCTGCATCTCACCAAGCGCGAGGCCTTCAATCAAGAATGAGCCAGCGAGGAAGAGCCATGCGTGCAAGCCCGTATCTTGAGGGTGAATCGTCCCAGCATCCGTCTTCTTGACCAAATCGTGCTTGTCGTTGTCGATTGCAAGGTTCTCAGAGTATATCGTCGCTTCTTCGTCCGTGCCGAGGGGCGTTCTCATTGTCACTGAGTCCCGACGACCAAAGTTGTCAATGTTGTCGAACCCAGCGCAATCTCCAACTCGGAGAATTTATTTAGCTACGACCAAGATTCCCAAATAAAACACGCTTCTACGTTTCTTTTATTCAAATTCCCGAGAGCCCTGGCTTTGCCCGGGATCCTCGGGTCCAAGGCAAACGAGGCCCGCGGGGCCTAGGAATGAATTGTTCTTGTAAGACACCAGGCGTCGTGGCGAATCACGCAGCTCTCGTGCCGTGGGAGTTGACGTGCGCTGGAATGGGTAGCTGTCGGCTCGCCACTTGTTTGTGACAAATTGGCAATTGCGCACCAGCGGACCTGTCATTCGAGGGGGCAGCGAATGGTCGTTTGGCTGAGGAGGCTACTTCTCATCGTGATCCGACTATGCTCTGAAGGAGCTACGTTAATAATACAAGACTACGTATTTTGTTGTATTTTAGGATGAACAGTATGCAAAGCAAGGGGTTGCTGTCCAGAATACAACTTGTAGCCGCTCAATGAACTGTTGTGTAGTTGCAAAAGATGCAGTGGAGCGTGGGAGCTTACTTTGCCTCAACTCGCTGGACGAGGCTTGCCACTTAGTTCTTCGCAGTTTTTTTTGTCTCCATTTTCCCGCCAGCTATTACTAATTATGTAAGTTACAGGCCACAGACTGGAATTCAAGCTCTAGCTTTCTTCCCTCTCCAAGCAACTCTGTCTCAGAGGGTTTGTTGAAGCCCCACACCGTGCTGTCTCACTCGTAGGAATCCGACAACTCATCACCAGATATGATTGCGGATCAAGGAAGCAAAACGAAAACTCGTGCTCTAGATGAGAACTAGTACGTGCTCGTCTCGTATAAGGAGTAGAGGTTCTCGGACTACGACACGCTGGCAAAGAATTAAAAAGGTGTTGGTCCATTTTTTGGAATCCCACATGCTCCATGCGTAGCGCTGTCTCATGGCCCAGCACGATTCTTTTCCCTTGGCCAGCAGTTGCCGATTCTTCCTTGGGTATACCGCTTCCATTTCCCAGCTACCCTCACAGTCTGGATGAATGAAAGAGGAAGAAAAAAGCGAAGAAAAATATTAAACCGTGCGGCATCTGAATCAGACGAGAGCACTCGCTTATTGAAAACAACTGAGGATGCTTGCTTGCCATGGCTTTGCGCGGCCAAAAACTGGCCCTCGTAAAGACGGTTTGGAATAATTTCTGAATAGAAGACTATAATTGCCATTATTAATTTCCGTGTGATCTGATTGCGTGCTGATATACACTCGTTGTCCTATTAGACCAGGTTGCTGAGGCGAACGAGGGGCATGTTTGAAGTCGCCTATTGAGCGTTGCACGACAAGCTCTTTAAACCAAAAGTACTTTTCTCAAGAAACTCTCTGTATTGATCATTGATGTTCTTTGTAATCTGGCATACAAAATAAGTCGGGCAGCAAAAGAGTATCAATTACTATTATTGTCCTACGCGAATTACTAGACAGCTTGTTAGCCTAATTCGTGTAAATCAAGAATATTAATTGCTACTCCTTTGCTACCCAACTTGCATTTGTTGAAATGCATTCCTCCAAAATAACTCTTAGCACATCCCTCTCATCCAACACCCACACACCATACTGTTCCGCTCAAGCGAGGCCCTGCGCAGCCGCCGCCACCCGCGCCACCTCGCTGATGCTCGCCGGCCCCTTGGTGAAGTTTCCCTGGTATCCGTACTGCGCAATGTAGAAGCTATGCACGCGCTTGGCGACAATGGCCGCGGCGTCGGTCTCGAACGTGGCCGCCGACGCCGGCACGTACGGGCTCCACGTCTCGTAAAAGTCGTGCACGACGACAGCCGACCGCGCTCGGCGGCTGCTGTTGCTCGGCAGCGCGTCGAGGCTCGCGGGCGTAAACGGCACGTACCCGCGGGGGCAGCGCGGCGTGGCCCCGTCGCGCGCCTGGTCGTGGTCGCGCGTGTAGCACGTCTCGAGCGTGAGCACGGCGTCGGCGGCGTCGAACAGCGCCTCGCTGCCGGGCTGCACCGCGACACCCGGGTTCAGCACCACGAGGCCCGCGGACCGGGCGGCGTACCGCGCCAGGTCCAGGTTGCGCGGCAGCTGCGCGGGCGCGGTGCTGATCTCGTCAAAGAAGATGCCGTGGATGGAGACGTTTTGCGCGACGCCGCTCCAGTCCTTTTGCGTCGTCCATGCCGCGTAGGCGTCGATGCCGCGCTTCACGAGCGCGGCGTCGCGCGCGCCGAAGCCCGTGTACACGTAGCCCACCGTCCGCGCGTTGCGCCGCGCGTTGAGCTGGCCCAGGTGGCTGGCCCAGTCAATCAGGTCCCGCGGCGTCGGGCTGCCGCCGTCGGCGAGCGCCGCGCTGTAGGGCGGCCCGTTGCCGTTGTTGATGATGACGTGGAAGTCGAGCGCGGGGTGCTTGTCAATGGTCTGGATCAGGGCATCCCAGTCGGCCTTGCCCGTGTAGGGCGATATGTAGTAGGGCACCAGGAGGGCCGTCTTGGCATGGGCCGCGGCGGCCAGGGCTGCACAGGCGAGGAAGAGCTTCATGGTTGCGTGGAGAGAGTTGCGGAGGATGTGCCTGCACGCAGAAATTCTTCAATGCAGCGCGGGCCTTTTATATATGAATTAAGCATCATCGCTAACGAGGAAACTTCCTGTACTACTCCATCAGCTGGCTCGGGTACCCCCAGCAAGGGCCGAGTTAGACTCTAGCGCATGATCTGAGGCTGATGCGGTCCGTCCGGGCTGGTGCCACCATCTGCAAATCAGGCTGATGAAACCGTGCATCCTATTCGTCGGCCCGGGCTGGCCGAAGCCAGCCGCTCACAAGGCTCGCTCAAGGACGCCAGCGAGGGCTCGTTCTAGAACCGATGCAGCTGCCTAGTCATTCAACATGGGCATAAAAATCGATATTGTTTTAAATATTGGGGTATATAGAGGGTCTCATTTGAGCCTATCAGCTTCCACCGGCACTTGGTCCATTCAGCCCTTTGTGTCTGCAGCGCCGAACTCTGTTGGGACGCTGTCAGCAAATTGCCTCCCTCCCGTCTCCCGTATGGGCGCATCACTCAGACTCGGACAAATTCTAGTTTCCGGGCCAGCCAGCATCCAATCGTAACCCGATCAATCTCGCCGCCCGCGCCGCGCCGCGCCACCACCGTCCAGTCGCCGGGCGGCGACGAGTCCATGGCGCGGGGGCAGGCCAGCGCAAAGACGTCCACGGCGAGCGGCCGCACCAGATGCACCGGGCCCTTGCCCAAGAAGCCGTCAAACGAGCCGTACAGCATGCCGTCTGTGCCGCTGCAGCTAAACTCTGAGTCCACCTCGGCGCACCGGAAGCGGCCGTGCAGCGCGGCGTAGTTGCCCCGCGGCGGCGCGACCGGCACGCGGTGGGCGCGAAAGGTGCGGTTGTCCGCGGGGATCGTCACCTCGAGCACGTCGCCGTCCAACACGGCGGTGACGTCTTTCGACACGGCCTTGTTCGCCGCGACAGGGGTCAGGTCCACGGCCGAGCGGTGGTACAGAAACGACAGCTTGCCGGCCGCTTCCCCCTTGCCCACGGTAACGGCCAGGTCCGACTCCGGGTCCAGATAGGTGCCGAGAAAGCCGGCGCTGGGCTCCACGGCGCTGACGGGGACGGCCGCAGCGCCGAGCAGCCGCTCGATGACGTAGTCGCAGAGCCCACCCGCCTTGGCGTGCTCCTCGTTCAGCAGCGCCACGACGGAGGTGCGCGCCGCGGTGGCGTAGACGCGGGTGAGTCGGTAGCCGCGCAGGGCGCCACCGTGGCCGACCAGCTCGACGTCGCCGACCAAGTGCCGGCTGAGGCCGAAGCCGTAGTCGGATGGGGCGCCGTCGCGGAACTGCTGCCTCGTGCTGTTGCGGCCGTACCAGCTCTCTGCGTCGTCGCGGTGCGCGTCCACAAACTGCTCATAGGCCACCATGTCAGTGAGCGAGGCTACGATGCCCGCGTCGCCGGCCCACTCGATGCGGTTGTCGCCGGGGTAGAAGCCGTCCTTTTCGTTGCCCTCGTGGCCGACGCAGGGGCCCGGGTGGGTGGCGGTGTCGGCGCACAGAAACGCAGTCTTCATGCCGGCGGGGGCAAAGATGCGCTCGCGCAGCAGCTCGGCGAGGGGCTGGCCGGTGACGGCCTCGACGGCGCGGGCAATCACGTAAAAGTTGGTGTTGGCGTACGAGTACTGGGTGCCGGGGGCAAAGTGGAGGGCGCCGAGGCGCTGCAGCATCTGCGGCCCGTGGCGCTCGATGGAGAAGGGCGTCTCCGGGCGGGCGCCCCAGAGCACGGTGAGCGCCCAGTAGTCGCGCAGGCCCGACTGGTTGTTGCAGAGCAGGTCCAGGGTGAGGCCCGTGTCGCGGACGAGGGGGAGCACGGCGGCGACGGCGTCGGCGAGCTGCTGCGCGGCCGGGGCGCTGCGTGCGGCCATGGCCGGCGTCGGCCGCAGCTGCAGGTCCGTCAGCAGCCCGCACGTCATCTGCTTGGAGATGGAGCAGATGGGGATCACGGTGTCGCTCGTCATCGGCACGCCTTCCTGGAGGTCGGCGAAGCCCCAGACTTTCTGGCCGACGAGCTGGCCGTCTTGGACGACGGCGACGGCGCCGCCCGGGCCGCGGTACTTGGCGGGCAGCTCGGCGAGGATCTGCTCGATGGGTTCAGCTGTTGGCGCCATTTTGACACGAGACGAGGTTGTCGATGGATGGACCTGAGAATGGAAGTGCGGGGTAAGATTTTATATTGAGGGGTTCCTCTCATTCCTTATATAAGCAAGCTGCTTTGATAAATATTTCTTCGATACATTTATAATTTAGCAAACAATCAAAGTAGTACAGGCCCGCTCTAGCTCGAGTGGATAGTTTTGGTCATGTTACAGTATTCATTACCTATTTATTAGTATTCAATTACCTATTTCATTACCTATGCACCATTCCTTTTGCTTACGAAACATGCTGATCATTTATTTATTCGTATCACATAGCCGTCTATTTTCACGGCAGCAGTTATCGTCAACGTTATGAGGTGTAGTGGTGGCAAGAGTGTTTGTAACAAATGTCTTTGTGGAAGCAACATCAGTGGTATAGTATGACAAGCATTGCACTCTTCCGCCGAAGTTGCCAATTTCTCAGAGACATGTCCAGGCCTGCCCTGGTCGATACCATGTCTACAGAGGCCTCTCCTTGTCAAAGTCGTGCACCCGTGTGTATGTCATCTGATGGTGCACGAATGGACACCCAAGGTGACTCCGCATGCCCGCCTCGGCGTACATTTCAGTTGTGCTGCGGAGCGCGGGGTGACCGCATCCACTGCTCTCCCAATGAACTGTCTAGTGTTGAAACACGAGTGACAAGCGAGTGGTATCGGGTTGAAACAGCTGCTTCATCGGGAAGCCTTCCAAACGCAGCGCAACACGCAGCTCTCCACCGAACGTGCCGATGCAGCTTGTAGTGGCGCGACGTACAGGGTATCCCCAGATTCATGACCAAACACTGTTGCTCGGAGGTTTCATGCAGCCCTGTCATGCACGGTAGGTGGCAGTGCCTGTCGATCCCCCCTCTGCCAAGCATCGTTGACGACCAATTTTTTTTTTTCAAGAATCGGCAGTGTATTAGATTCCACTCCTGGGGCACTACTTCGTATTTCTACTTCCCCCGTTCAATCTTCGTCCTTCTTCACCGGACTATCAGGCTGCCGTCGTCAAGCATCCTTCTCAAATAGGGCAGTGGCAGTTTCCACTGCAGCAAGGGCCCGACACAATATTAACCGTCAGCTCGCCCTTGGACACATCGTTGCCCGGCTCTGTCGGGTTGCTTCCACACTGGCTGCAGCCTGCGGGGAAGTATGTCATGGTCAGTAACATCTCGTTTCCGGGCGACAAACCATCCAAAACTCACCGTGGTCAATCAGGCCTTGGAGGAGTTGAGCCGCGCGGTCCGCGGTGCCCGATGCTCCATTCTGGTAAAAGGCGCAGACGCTGGCTGCACCTAGTTAGCCCAGTTTGTCCAACACAACAACCCTCAACGTTTGGGGAAGACTTGCAGTATTGGCCGCTCGAACAAGCTAGTTGAACTAGAATCGCTGTCAGTCATCACCCATGGGGTAAACTTGGCCTCGAGCTCTCACCTCCGGTCCCGTAGTGGTGGCCGCCGTTGCCCTGGGCCTGAATCTGCTGCACTTGCGTCAGGACCTCTCGAAGGCTGGCGTTGTTGAAGGTGCACCCGCCAGACCCTCTACAGTTGATGCCGAGAGCGGCGGCGCCGGAGACGAATGTCAAGAGAGTGGCAAAAGAGACCATTTTGAGAAATGTTGGATCCTGAAATTGAAAACACGAGGTAGAATATCTTGCCAGGAATCAATTCTCAGAGAGCCTGCGGCGGCGCAGCGACCTGTTTATGTACAAGATCAAACGTGACGTTGCGATTGGCCGTCTCTGATAACCTTGCTTCCGGCACCTCGATATTATCTTACATCTTGTAGTAATGCCCTTAATAATGCCCTGATTGGGGGAAAATCTCGGCCCGTGTACATCCAAGGTTTCCCTTGCGAGCGTGCATCATCGACTCGGCAGCCGGCTCGTCATCGCAGCCTGGGCCCTCAAGGAATCGCGGAGAGTACCACCTTGATGTCACGACTGCACTGGTCGACCCGGATCTTGGCGTAAGCACTAATTAATAACAGACGGCTCGGAAGCCGGAGGAACGAGCCCATCACCTAGTGTTGACCCACTAATGGCTTCCGGCTGGGTGTCGGAAAATACTTTTGCCGATCAGGCGGTAATATTTTCGTAAAGGTCTCGTTTAACTACCCTTTGCCCTACAACTGAGCGTATGCCCGCTTACTTTAAAAGAGTCAAATTTACCATGACTAAGTTCAAGCGCAATGCACAATCACAACCAAAGCATGGCAAACCGTCGGTCAGCAGTGCATCTAAGGCACCAATTGCAGCACCAATCCGCCGTCCGGGATGGACTGGACCAAGCCATATACAGAAACCCGCCAAACAGACGCCAGCAGCAGTGAAGGAGACCAGCTTGACAGAACAGACCCAGAGTCTATTTGTTAAACATCAACAACTCATTCTTGACACAATTAGAACTACATTTCCTGCTGTCGACGATTTCAATGCATTGATACCAGTATTACGTGCGGTCAGGGAAGCCCTCGAGCAAAAGGACTACTGCACGGCATTCGGGACCGAGGACTTCTTGGAGGCATATACAATCCGTTGGAGTCCTAGTAGAGCTCTGACAAGTGCAAATTTGTTAGCTTGGATTTGCAGTGAGATGAGAGAGTCTGTATGGGTCCAACAGTTCCTTCACAATGATGGGCAAAAGCCATCGAAGATTGTATGCATTGGGCGAGGAGGATCTGACTTATTAGCATGTGTGGCATTGCTGAAGCACTTTCATCAAAGCAAACTCGACGAATTTCCCCGGCTAAAGTCATCTTCTCCTGATGCGATAATGACAGACATTGCTTCTATCGCTACCTCACACCTCGACCCCGATTACAACGACAGTGCTCTGGTTGATCTCAACCTCATTGACAGGCACGATTGGTCAGGGATTGTCACAAAACTACAACACACTCTTACACATTCTCCTCCTCTTTCGAAATATGCGACTGCCAAGGCGCACGCTTCAAATGTCTCAGCTATCTCATCTCACGTTTTAAATCTAGCAGTCAACCAGATCGACATGCTCGAAAGCGGAAGTACCGATCTGCGTGCGATGATTGGGCCTAACCCGGCATTAATTACTCTCTTCTTTACGCTCCACGAATTCTACTCGATCTCAATAGCTAAAACCACGGCTTTCTTATTGAGACTGACTTCGACAGCACCGAAAGGGAGTCTACTGCTTATTGTAGATAGCCCCGGAGCTGATGCCGCGCTACCTGATAGTAGCAACAACAAAGGAGAAGAAAAGAGATACCCACTCGAGTGGCTACTTTACAGAGCGCTGCTACCGCCCAAGAGCAGTAGCGCAAATTCAGAGGAGGAGGAACAGCCAGCATGGGCGAAACTTATCAAAGGCGGCCATGAAAAGGAGTATAAGTTACCTGCAGAACTAAGATTTCCGGGAAGTCTTGAGAATACCAGGCTCCAGGTGCATCTACTAGAGCGTTTATGAAGGAGCGTCCATAATAGCCAGGCTTATCTTATAACTTTGATTCTGAAATTAAATTGGCTAACCAAGCTCAGCTTGCGCATCTCTGCTTCGTTCAATTTCTCTCGGGATGTATGTGTAGGGCAGAGCTCAGACACCTATTCTAACAGTACCACCTTGATGCCACTACTTCACTGTATGTACCAGTCGACCCGGATCTTGGCGTAAGCACTAATATTATAGGACTAGGCAGCGAATAGCGCAGCTAGTTCGCTGAAGTGTACACTAGTAGTGCCTTGTCGATCGGCAGACACCGACCGTCCGAGCTCTAGCGCATCGGCCCAATGTCGACGTCAACTTCATTGTCAATTTCTCATCACCGCTAACGTTGTTTCGGCTGTCGTGTTGCATTTCTGAGAATGTTCTATACTGGTACTTTATATGCATTTTCTACTTTTATATAATTGGAAACTATATCCTCTATGCCTTTATTTATAGGGTATAATACTAAGGCTCTTCTAGAGGGCGGTCCTTGGCACGTGCCGCTGAAAGTAGTTCACAATGCTGGACTGGCATGACAAGACGGCCCGGAAGACGGAGGAACGATCCCCCGTCACTCAAGTATATCTGAGAACTTCAATTGAACGACATTATCTCTCTCATCCTATGTGCGCCCTGGTGGTCCCAATAGAGATTGCCATGGCCGTATTCAGGCGCTTTCGCCCAGACGATCTGAATAGGTTCTCAAAGTGCAATTTGGATAGTCTGGTGGAGACGTACGAAGTCGGCTTCTATCTTCAATACCATGCCAAATGGCCGTCGCTATTCCAGGTGTGCGAGGACAACCAGGGCAACATAATCGGATACAGTATGCTATGCCTCGCCTACACAGCTGAACGGCGATTTCGCAAAACACGCGGACGCGAGCTTGCTAACTGATATGCGCGACGCGTAGTCATGGGCAAGGTTGAATCGTCACCTGATGCATACAAGCGTTCCGAGCACTATCTGCCGTGGCACGCCCATATTACCGCATTTACCGTTGCTTCGGAAGCACGCAGGCTCGGCATCGGTAAGATCCTTGCTGAGCAGGTGGAAACAGCAGCGGACGCGAGGAATGCCTGGTTTGTCGACTTGTTTGTGCGTCGCAGCAACGAGGTCGCCATTGCATTTTACAAAAGTGCGGGGTACAGTGTTTTTCGCGTGGTCAAGGACTATTACATCGATCACGCCACCGATCCAACAAAGGCGACGGAAGATGCTTTGGATATGCGCAAGCCGTTAAAGAGAGACGCAGATCGGCAGCATATTAGAAAAGATGGCGAAAGATATGAAGTATCGCGGGATGATGTATGGTAATTACGAGGCCGCATCGCAAAACATGTCGCTTCTTTATTTGACAAGGGCGCTACATAGATAACCACTCGACCATAGAGACGATAAAAAGAGACGATAAAACGATGAATTTAGATATTATACGATTTCTCCGTACAGGCTATTTGCGCTCCTGAGCCTTGGAATCCATAAACGTATCGTGGTGACGGTCTTGCTACGTGATGTTAGTCCGAGGCTTGAAGTTGTTCATCTAGGAAACAAACCCGAGCTTTAACAGCACCAGCATCCTGAAGCATGGGCGAGGCCATGCTCAGCCCCCAAGGCATAAAGCGGCCATCAACGCGGTAACTGCATAATCACGCCTACCTACGCGAGCCGGGGGCAGCCTGCGTTTGCACACATGTTTTTGGCATCTTACAGAGATATCAGCCCGTTTGCAACATGTCAGGAGTCCTCCATATAAAATTGTAAAATGGCGCCAATATGCCAAAAAAAAAAAAAAATTACACTTAAAAAAACTGCTCAAGCCATCTTAGCAAACAACCCCTGCGCCCCTAGGTATGCTGAAACACTACATCACTACATGTTTGGTGCTGTTTATCAGAGTGGCGTCCGTCAACCTACAAGTTGGCCCAATAGGAAGACACGCGGTTGCTGTATGAAAGCAGGATTTTCTGCCGAGCGTGTGGTGGGTCAAGTGAGTGGGCCATTTGACGCCCACCTCTTTGTTGTTTGGACTTATAATTTAGATTGATCATCACCACCCACTATACGCACCAATCTTGATAACGTTGTTGCTTGTGCTTCTTCTCTTCGTGTCTTATCTCGCTCTGCTTCGTACACTACGTGGTAGCAATTGCCTCAGTCTAGGCAAAACGATTTCTTGTGGACAAGCCCCCGCTGAGTCCCGACTCCATCAATCGAGCCCTACACACCTCCGAGAAGAGACAAAACCCTTCAAGCCGTCGGCCCAGTGCCCGACAGACCCCCGGGCCTCACGACACGGCTCCAATAATCCCTTAAGCTTCGGCTTCGGACAAGGTTGAGTTCACACTCAGTTCATATTGCTGGTTCATTAAAGGGAGCCAGTGATCATTTTATCACCATCAATGTAGGGTACATGAGACCTGTCTAGAGCCCACAGAACCTCCACAATACATCATCATCATCATCCCACAGCAGCATATGGAATGCTCGGTTGAGCGTCCTCGGAAAGGAGGCCCCTTTGCCGGTCAACGACATAAAAAGGGCGAAGCATAAGGAGCAGAAAAATAAAAGTGGTTTGCATTCTAATGGTGAGGCTTGCTCGGCTATTTGCATATGACCCGTAAAGTCCCCATCAGAGCCTCTTTGATTATAGCGAAAAAAAATTCGAGTGTTTTAATACTCGGCACCTCCCCCTCTTTCTGTTAGAACCTACTTGCTGTCTGACCACTCGTTTATGTCACGTACAATAACGGCTAACTTCCAACCGCCAACTGGACGACTAACGAGAAGATGCCTACGCCGGATTCTGAAGAAAATGTACCCTTTATGGGCGACAAGACGCGAGACTCGGACCAGCGTACTGACCGGGCTGTTCTTGTTCGGAGACTTCAGCAGAATGTCGTCTGTGGTGTTTTGGGATTCATTTCCTCTTCGTTGATTTTCCTCACTATTCTACTCTTCACCAGGCTCCCAACAAACACCACCACCTGTACCAAGCCACAGGTACTGCCCGGCCAGAGTTTTTGGCCAGAGAGTAAGTACTGAATTGCACGCATGCCAATGTAGGAAAAAAGGCATTGACGTTTGTTTTTCTTTCTTCTTTCCTTTCACAGTTCCCGACTTTGCGCGAGTCTTTGTGGACGACAAGGACTGGATAGACGCGGGCGAAATTGGCGACGTGCTTTGGCATGATCTTTTGCCGGGTAAGTTCTTCTCCTTGCGAGCTCGCTTCTTGCTCTTTTTCCAACGGAACTGACTTAGACGTTAGTTGGCGGGGGCTTTGTACCGATACCCTGGCCGCGAAACTATGCCTTGCCCGAAAGCGCTCCCTTGGAGGGGAACCCAGAGCAAGCAGAGCTTTATGCTACGTCGAGTGTACATCAATTACATTGCCTGGTAAGTTTTGTCCCTGGAAACAAGACATGAGAGGGGATCACTGCGTGACAACTAGCTAACTGATCGTGTAACAGGCAACCATGCGAGAGACGATCAAGTCCTATAGTCAGGGCGAGGAACCATTATATAGCAGTGGCCATGCCTACCACTGCTTAAACTATTGTATGCTATTATCCAAGCCATTGCCCATTTTATCGCTGGATACTGACTGTTTCCTTTTCTCAAAGTGAGGCAGGGTGTGCTGTGCGCAGCGGACACAACCCTTGAGTACGGACATCCTGTTTGGAACAAGGAGAAGACATCTATGGAATACGACTTTGCTGGGAATGGTGTGGTGCATCAATGTCGAAACTGGAATACTGTGAAGGAGTTTCTTGTGAACCATCGTACTCCTGATAAACAGTCGATGAACTAGAGAACTTCGATTTGATTCTGGTCTTCTTCGTCTCCAGAGAGCTTGTATGACAGCCACGAGGAGCTGTTCGAAAGAGCTGAGAACAATGATGAGAGAAAAGCCGAAATGCAATCGGATTACGAAGGCCGCAGCAACACGCACGCCGCAGAAGAACACCCAGTATCATCGCGCCTGCGAGCCAGAAATCCGAGCGGTCGTTAGGGTTGTATTTTAAGCAGTACTCTTAACAAATAGCGCCTTTCTCTGCTGAATACCTAGCCATAACTAATTTATCGTTATTCGTTTATTCTAGACCCCTATTCTGCCGTAACCTAAAAACGCCATAGCGCACGACCGTTTGCCACCGTTCGGGCGCCCACCACCAGACCACCGGTCATTAGCACTTATCTAGTATTATAGCTATATTATAGTAGCTTACGATACCTAAAATACTATTCTAGTTATTAGTAAAAGTACTAATATGTATCTTGATTTATTAATAATAAATACTAATATTTATTTTTACTTTTATTTATTAATACTAAATATTAATAGCTTTTATATATATTAAATAGTAATAATAAATTCTAGTATATATCATTTAATAATATTATATAATTAAATAAATTTAAATAGGTTTTATATTTTTTTAATCTTTCTTTTTAATTTTCTTAATTGTCTTAATTTTCTTAATTCTCTATTACCTTAAAAATTCTATATAGTAACTATAAGCTGTAATGACCAACTCCTATCGCATGTAGATATCGGAAGGGCTACACAGAACCTCGCACTCGTGCTCCCGCTCCCATGTCGTCGAATGCAGGCACAACGTCCTTCCCTGGCGATGTGGCGTCGTCGGTTCTCGATGTAGCATCCTTTGGAATGCAGCAGACGCAACCTTTGCAGGCCAATGCCTCGGCTGCCACCTCGCCAGTGCAGCCGAGCCAGCAGGCATGCGCAGCAAAACCTACCACGAACCAAAGCAGACGGCGGGAGAAGCCCCATCTCTCGTGCACTTTGTGTCGCAAACGCAAGTGAGTAACGAGCCTCGCGCCACATCACCTCGTCGCCGCCCACCGCTGACAATGCTTCCGCTCCCATAGGCTGCGCTGTGATCGCAAGCAGCCCTGTTCCAGCTGTGCCTCACGCGCTGTTCCCTGCACCTATGTCCAAGGCGGTGCCGGTGTTGTCGGTCCGACTCTTCACGATCGCCTCGTTGAGCTGGAGCGTCTCATCGTGTTGCAAATGCCGCTATCCCAGGGGCAGAATCTAGCTGCGCAGCCTACCAACACGCATGTAGCAGACCCGCAGGATGGCGCCGGCTTTCAGCAGACCGATTCCAGTCACGTCCCGTCTGAGCGTGGCAGCCTCCATATTGGCGGCTCGGAGCTGCAATACGTTGGTGGCGAGCATTGGGCTGCCATCCTGGACAACATTACCGATTTCAGGGACCAGCTCGCTCGAGGAGAGGACGTGTCGCTGCCGGAACCGGTCGGTGCATCTAGCTCTGGGGCTGCTCATGAGCCCGAAATTGTCCGCATGCCTCCCGCACGTCGCGCACTGCTCCTATACGGTTGTCCTCGTCCAGCGTCCCGCGAAGAAATTCTGGCCGCGCTGCCGCCCAAGATTACAGTTGATCGCTATCTCTCGCGCTATTTCACGTGCCTCGAGCTAGCCTCTTGTATGTAAAGCAAAACTCCAAATTTCCTCTCCTACCCGCAGACACTCACCCTCTCCGGACAGGCACGATTCACGGCCCTACATTTCTTCAAGAGTATGAAGCATTCTGGTCGGACCCCTCCCAAACCTCCATAATATGGATTAGCCTTCTGTTCGGAATCATATGCCTCGCAGTCACCACGTCAGACGTAGCCGAGGTCGGCCTTGGACATGAAAGAGACCTAGCCCTGCGCCAAGTAGATCTGTATGTTGAAAAGATTGTGCAGTGTCTGGTCTTGGGACAGTACACCACCGCGGGCCCATACGTGGTCGAAAGTCTGGTGCACTATTTACATGTTGAGTTTGCCATTTGCACCGATGCCAACAAGGATGTGTGGTTTGTGCTCGCCCTCACCATCAAAATTGCCACGTCGATGGGTTACCATAGAGATCCAGGCTACTTTCCCAGGCTAACACCGCTTCAAGCTGAAATGCGCCGTCGCCTATGGGCAACGCTCGTGATGGCGGACATTCTCATATCAAGCCAAATGGGAATGCCTCGGATGATTTCAGACTCACAATGGGACACAGCCGAGCCCCAAAACTTAAATGACTCTGATTTAAGTGCAGAGCTGACGCAGCTTCCGCCGTCTCGACCCGAAACTGAGCACACTTCGTCCCTAGGCATCATTTCGAGGATAAGGATACTTAGAGTTGTCGGTCAAATCACAGACCTGACTTCAGCCGTCGCGCCGTGCAGCTACGCCGAGATCACTCGCCTTGATGGGCTCTTGCGAGACACACAGGCCATCATCCCACAGCTGCTCCAGCCCAAACCGCTGGCTGCCAGCATAACTGATTCCCCGCAAGTGATCATGGCTCGTTTATTTATCAGCCAAATCTTTTACAAGGGCCAAATCATGCTACACCGGCGCTTTCTATACCTCGAACCCCCTCCACAAGAGCAAGCCTCATATACATATTCTCGCAAAGTGTGCCTGGATGCTGCACTGAGCTTGCTGGAGATCCAGTTCATAATGGATGAGGAAACATGTGTAGCAGGGCAGTTGCACACGATGCGATGGCGTTTGAGCTCCTCATTAAACCACCAATTCCTCACGGCTACCATGCTACTCTGTTCGCTCCTTCATCGCAAAATTACACTGCAACGAGATGACGAAATTATCGCAGCCCTGAAGGCTTCCAGAACTATATGGATGCGACATTGCGGTAAGTCTCTAGAGGCTAGAAAGGCAGTCTGGACTATAAGCGTTGTGCTTGCAAGGGCTTTGGGGGACAATAGCCAGGAAATGGCCGGTTTGCAGCCGGAGGGGGTGCCTTGGCCGGTTGAACCGAATGCGAACAATCCAGACGCCGAAGTAGACTTTGATCCAAGTCAGATGCTCCAAGAGCTTTTCCGACCTGATGGTAAGCCTCGCACCTGGTTCAGCAAGCGCCACTGCTAATTCTTATCATGCAGCGGGAGTCCCATTCCAACCGGACTTGTTTGCAGGATACACGCCGCCCATGATGCAAAGTGAAGGTCTTTCCATGTTCTCCGGCGCTCAAGACAATCCAGATTTACATCTAGGATCGGCGGAATGGTTGTTGTTAGAGCCGGGAGAGGACTGACATTGAGGATAGACGAGTGCCACCTCGGCATTCTAACGTATGTTTCGTTTAAAAAAAGAGTGACAACGAATTAATCGACAAAACAGAAGCATGTATTGACGGGAAGTATTTGACAGGAAGTATAGCACCTTGAGCGATCCCAATAAACCACCCCACTTGCTAAACCTCAGCCAGTTGTGATCAATAGTAGCATGCGGCAATTTACCATAACTTGCATTTCTTTCAGTGTCTATTTTCTTCTTCTTATGAATACCAACTTTGGTGTGAACTAGTTCTGCAAACCTCACAGGTGCCTGCCAAAAAACTCCAAAACAGTCTGGTAGCCACGGGCATATTCTTCCCTGACTCTCGGGTCGGAGAGGTCCGCGCGGGCCGCCATCCAGCCGTGGACCTGGTCGCCAAAGGTCTCGACATGATGGGGCACCGAGAGACCCTGCTCAAAGGCGGCGACATCGGCGGCGGGATCTTCACCGGAAGCGAGGAGCAGGTACGGGACAGAAATGGACTTGGCGCCCTCGGGATCGATCATGGCAGGATGCAGACCGGCGGCGACGGCGAAGGGATTGGACGGCGCCGAGGTGACGAGCTCTGCGACCTTGCCGCCCCAGCAGTACTGTTTTGATGTTGACGGGTCAGAGACGTTGGGCAAAAGCATTTTTATGCTCATTGAGAAATGAAGCTTACCCCGATCAGACCCCATTTTGTGATGCTGGGGTAGGCGGCTTTTAGGCTGTCGACAAAGGCTGGGAGCTTGGCTGCAACAGCGTTGGGGTCGTTAGCGCTAAACCAGGCGCCTAAATTATTCTGCTTCTCTGGGGTGTCAGGGGGATACCTGCTCAAGCGAAGAAACATGATTAGCTTAGCGTCTCTCCTTTTATTTTGTCTCTTCTTTGTCTCACCACTCCGTCGGGCAGGAGTTGCCGTCGAACCAGTCCGGGATGAAGACCTTGTACTGCGCGCCCTGAATGCCTGCGCTCAAGATGTCCGCTCCCTGTACCGTCTGATCCACGAAGCCAAAGATGTCGAAAATGGACACGATGCCCAGTGTTGCGTCGGCCGGGCCAGTAACATCTGTTTTTTTTTTCGCAACGAAATGGTCAGCTTTTCACTTGTCATGGGGTTGTAGCTTGAGAAGCACCAGCAGTACGCTAGCTCTCCAACTTCTCTCTCTCTCTCTTACAGGTCTTGCTGCCGCCTAGCTGCTCGTAGGAGCCCTTGGCGACGTATCCTTCAGCTACGACGGGTGGGATGTTGCAGCAGGCACGGCCATGGCCGCTTGTTCCGGGCATCGACATGCTGGCGATGTGGCGAGCAGCGGCGTAGGGCGCGCGCGATGGCTGCAGAGCAGACAGGCAGGTCGAGGACAAGGAGGACAAGACTGGAGCTGGTCGCTGGGCTCTGGCTGCTTGGGCGAGAGGAGAGAATCCCGCCGATGGTAAGGACGTCTTGGTTGCTAGTCTGCCCGATTGTCGCATTTCAAGGGAAACTGCACGTGGCTAGGCTGGAGAGTAGGCTGGCCTGTTGAGCGGTTCTGTGAAGTGGGTGTTGTTTTGGAAGTATTATCGAATATTCATACTGTTTTATAATACGAGTTTCCAGAGGTCAAGCCCGTCGTCTCGTCTCCGTCTCCGTGGATTACGGCGCCATGTCCCGTTCCGTTAGCTCCGCCGAGAGGGGCGCAAGGCTAGCTAGCCTGTGCCAAACAATCAATAATCCACCGAACCGGATTTCCATGGAGATGTCAGTCCGTCCTGCTTTTCTACGTCAGCCAATAGTGGCGACAACGACCACGAGTTGACGGGCGAGGCTGCGATCAAAGCCAGTCAGTGCACCCAGCGCACCCAGGGCGACGGCCCTGATCACCGGTTGACATGTGCCTGCCAGGGGGCCTTACACGCTGGGTGGCTTTTGTTGGCGCCAGAGCCAAGCCGGTTGCGTTCTGATTCGTCGTTTAGACTGCCTCCTCCGTCCGATCCACCATTGGTCTGTCCTCCGTCCGATCCTCCGGGGTCCCGCTCGGCGGGCTGACCCACAAGCTCACCCTGGAGACTTGCCCATCTTCGGAGGAACGGGCGGAGGTACCAGCTCGAACTACTGCCCGGAGCAAGGAAAAATTGTAAAATGGAGGTTATTAAAACTCGCGTAGAGACATCACATATGCAAAGTCGGGCTATAACGTAAACAAGCAAGCTTTGCGAAAGTAGCGATACTGGAAGCGTTTCCATACGCTGTAAGCCTTACGATCTGATATCAAAATCTCGCCGACAACCTCACCATGCAAGACGATGCGAAAAACGAGCCCGTCCGGTCGGGGACAAGCACAGACACAAAGACAGAAAACGATGTCGAGGGAAAAGCGGTCGCCACGACTGTTGTTGAGGCATCTGAGCAAGTCGTAGATCCCCACGTTGTGGACTGGAACGGACCTGACGACCCGGAGAATCCCAAGAACTGGTCCAGCGCCAAGCGGTGGTCTCACATTATTCTGATTGCTACTCTGGGTCTTATCACGTATGTATCGATTATCATCGACGCAGTTTCTTGACATTCGTGGCAAGGCTAACCAACCTCCATGACAGCAACTTTGCGCCAACCATTTTCGCACCCGGCATCAGCCAGCTGAACGAGGAATTCAACATCACCTCGAGCACCGTCAGCACCCTGGCCATAACGCTCTACGTCCTGGGCATCTCCATCGGGCCGATGTTCACGTCGCCGCTCAGCGAAGTGTACGGCCGCCTCGTCGTGTATCACGCCAGCATGGTCGTGTTTGTGGCCTTTGTGGTGGCCAATGCCGTGAGCCAGAACACGGCGCAGTTTCTCGTCTTTCGCTTCCTCTCTGGCTGCGCAGGCGGCACGCCGCTTTCGCTCGGCGGCGGAACCATTGCCGATCTCACGAGCCCGGCGCAGCGCGCCCTGGCCATGGCCCTCTTCAGCCTGGGTCCCATGTTTGGGCCGGTGAGTTTTTTTATTCCAACCTCCTTGCTTTGCATGCCCCCGGGGAGGAGACAGCATGCTGACGGAAACGGGAAACATCTAGGTCCTGGGGCCGGTGATGGGAGGCTTCGTCGCCGCCGCAAAAGGCTGGCGCTGGACCTTTTGGGTGCTCGCCATCGTCGGCGGCGGCATGCAGCTCCTCAGCTTCGCCCTCATGCGCGAGACGCACCCCAAGGTGATCCTCGACAGCAAGGCGGCGCGCCTCCGGCGGTCGAGCGGGGACGCCGCCTTCCGATCCAGGCTCGCGCGCGCGACCACGCCGGGTCAGGTCCTGGTCCAGGTCCTTGTCCGTCCGACGGCGCTCCTGCTCCGCTCGCCCGTGCTGCTGCTCATGTCGCTGTACGTGGGCTTCATCTTCGGCGTCATGTACCTGCTGTTCAGCACCTTTGACGGCGTGTTCCAGGCGCAGTACGGCTTCAGCGTCGCCGTGTCGGGCCTCGTCTATCTCGGCCTGGGCCTGTCCGCCGCGACGGGCATCGTCTTCTTTACCGTCTTCAACCAGCGGATCCAAGCCGCCTGCATGAAGCGAGACGGCGTGGCGGCCCCAAAGCCAGAGCACCGCTTGGTTCTGATGATTTGGTTCAGCCCAGGCGTGCCTGCTGGCCTGTTCATTTACGGCTGGGCTACGTTTTACAAGATCCACTGGTTTGTCCCCATTCTTGGGACCGTGCTGATCGGTTACGGCGCTTTTTTTGTGCTGGTGAGTTTTGTTCTGGGACGAGGGCGGCCGTTGTACTTAAAATCAGCAGATGCTCACTCAACTCTACCTCGTCGAGGTATTCGGCACAAAGGCAGCAGCTTCCGCCCTCGGCGCCAACATCTTGGTGCGTTACCTGGGAGGCACGTTTCTGCCACTGGCCGGCCCAAGCATGTATGCGACGCTCGGCCTGGGCTGGGGAAACAGCTTGCTGGGATTTGTGTCGCTCGCCTTCATCCCTGCTTCCATATTCCTGTACAAGTATGGAGAGCAGCTGAGAAACAAGTCTTCAGTGAAGGCTTAAGTTGGAGTGGATGCTGGCTCATACCTTGGACCACAGTAGACGGCTAATAGATTGTATTCCAGGCCGGGAGAGGTTTCGGATTCGTTTCGTTTAGGTGTACTTAATAACAGACAGCCTAGATAGAAGCCAGAGGAACAATCTCCTATTACCTAGTATATCTTTTAATACAATGACTATCTCTTATCCTATACACTATTAGTCCTAATATTACTGCCTTAGAAGGTACTCTTTTTATATTATTTATTTGTTTTCCTAGACGCTAACTGAACAACGTAAAGGAATATGTTCGCTCCTATTGACACTGTTGTATGGGCATCCACTAACTAAGTGGAAGCTGATGGGGAGATCAGTGGGCATGCTTTAGAGACAATTTAGGTGGCGATATGTACATATTAGCGCCTGAGAAGCCGAGCATAGCCCCTGTAGCTAAAGTTTTCGCCTAAAAAAAACCCTAAACTAGTCTCAGCACCGTTGTACTAATAAATCACTACAACTTTTTACAATGGCAGCATAGAGGCAACAGGTCGTGATCGGGAGCGATCAAATTGAGGTAACGCCATTGTTAGAAATACTCCGAGCCCCTGATAAAAGTAGTGATGTGTAAGCACGAGCCCCCAGACGATTCGACGAATCTGGCAGGCGGTAAGCAATCAGGTTCTGTGGCTTGTCTCAACCGATTGTTTCTGTAAAGAGTTGGTACCCAAAAGGCTCCAAAACTTCCGTTCCGCTTTCATTACCATTCATCCTTACTATTCTTCACTGTTATTTCGTGCAGCGAATTTAATATTGTCGGTTTACATTGACCCTTATATCTTCAAGCCAGTTAATCATCAATTCAAAGGCAATGGCTGTTAGCATCAACCGTGTTGGTTATGATGAGCGGCTCGCTGTGGTTGGCGACATCCTAAGAGGCCTCGGACTGCAGGTAGGGCGCAACACTTATCAGTAGCATCGTACATATACTGATTCAGTACCGGACAGGCATCAAAGGTCTCAACTGTGGCATACGACGATGATTACAAGTACCCATTCAACAATTTCCTCTTCAAAGTAGATTTGGCAACCCCCGCATCGTCTGCCCAATTCACAGGCACACAAGCCGGAACAGTCAAAGCACCATTCGGCGGCGTATCTTCTTTCATCATCAAATTGAGCAACGCAAAGGCTTCAGATGCCAACAACGCTAATCGCGTTCCAAATGATGTTGCAGCGCAGCACCTTGTCCGTCAATCCCTAGCGGCTGCGCGACTTGGTCCTTTAATCCCGGATGTCTATGCGTGGGCTCCGGCCAGCCTCACTGATAAACTACGCGAAAAGGATTTCGGATGGATCATTTCAGAGTTCAGGGCTGGTGTAGATTTAAACACTGTCTTTGCTGACCTCACAAACGACGCTAGAGGAAAGGTTCTCGGGCAAATTGCCGCTGCTTTTGCAGCAATCCAGGCAGTCAAACTGCCAGAGACGGTTACGAAATTTGGGGGAATCGCCTTCAATGAAAAAGGTCAGATTATCAGCGCTGAGGCTCCTTTCCGACAAATAGACCCCATGGTAGACTCATACGTGGAGTTCAAGTTTGGCAACCTGCGCAGGCGTTTTGATGCTGCTGGTAAAAGCCCTGTTATTCGAGGCTGGAAGACGGACGGGGTTGATGTCCGAATTGAGCAGTTTCTGAGCAGCAATGGGCCTGAGAAAGTTCTTTCTGGTGTCGACCTTGCGCAGAAGAGCTTAGTGCATGCAGACTTTAGTATGTGTACATCCATACATAACCAGAAAATCACGATGCTAATGATTGTAGCGACGAACAACATGCTGTTCGATAAAGACAGCAACGAGATCACAGCGATCTTGGATTTCGATTTTTCTGTTGTTTCCAATCCGTTTGATGAGTACCTCACCAGTTTCACAGACTTGGGTGGGTGCGTGGGTGGCCTCACCAACGAAGTTGAGGCCGCTATCCTCAAGGGTGACTTTGCATCGCCACCAGCTGATCTGAGTGAAGATGCAAAGAGAGAATGGGAACTCGCTGATGCTTGGAGATCCATTGCAAAAAAAAACGGTGTGCTTTCTCCAAGTGAAATGAAAGGCGCGGACCAGATTATGGAACTGATACAGTTCCAGAACCTGCTGTGTCCTCACCGTTTGAGTAACGCATTCATGCTGGAGAAGATGAATGACACAGAGAAAGCTGAGCTGCGAGCTAAGACCCAAGCAAAGATTGTGCAATGGCTAGCGAAATATGGCTTCTGAAACAATTTCTTCGTAACTCGGAGCAATAGATGCATTATTATAATAAAAAACGATAGCTACTCTACACGTCCACTTGGCTCGTATTCAAAACATAAGGCAGCATTGGAGGCGTCGGTAAAATGCTGGCTACGCCAGACAAGACAAGGGACCAACATTTGGTAATTATCGATATTGCAAGATAGTACAGCGTTTTTTATAGAAGGCTCGATTCCAATACTTCCATGCTGCACCAGGCAGCCAAGTAGATCAACTCACTTTGGAAAGCAGAAACTCAACCGATATACCATGGACCGGGTTCGTGGCTAAGGCCATCTTGAGGGATATGTGTAGCCCTCGCCGTCCTTATTATTTCTTACTTAGTAGGTTCATGCCAACCGGCGTCTCTTAGCTCCCTGCCCGTGGTCATCGTCTCGCGGGCGGCGACGCCGGCGACGAGAGACAATATCCTCCGAGCTCCCCGCCGCATCGCCTACCTCATCCCTATTCGCAGCTCGGTGGTGGCTAGCTTCCGAGAGCCCCGCCGCACTCGACCGCGCTCTGCGAGAAGAGCGGCGCGTGCCGCGCTCAGATACATCTTCTCGAGAAGCCTCGGTCGAGGTCGCTCGCTCGTCAAACCGGGGGCCAGGTGCACCGGGCATTTCGACTTTGCGAGACTGACGGCTAGATTTGCCACTGATCTCTCCAGCTTCAACATCAAGCGCCCCGTCAGCTGTCGCTTCACCCGTCACGTTTTGGGCGGCCGTAGGAGCCTGGAGGGGCGATTTTCTGCGAAGTGCCTCGACTCGGCGACTCTCGGCCTGCGCTTCTTTCACGGCTGCTTCCGCCATGTCTCGCGATTCCGGCGAGAGCCCGAAGCAAGGCTGATCTGTTTCATGGTCTCCAAGCTTATTTTGCCAACCGTTCAACAAGTCAGGCCAGCTAAAGACTTTCAACGAATCGAAACAATGGCGTGCCAGTGGCGGAAGCCAGTCGCGGAGCTCCCCCAGATCCCGACGATATTCTAACGTGGATTGTTGGATCGTACAAGATGAAAAACCCTCTTCTGTCCAGCGTGCGAGTAACTGGCTCAAAGCTTGCTGGCCAATATCGCGAGGCTTCCATGTTACTGGCGTGATGTTTGTCGGGAGTCGGGCTCGAGTGGCGGCGAGGCATGGAAGCAACACGGGGTTTTGTACCAGCACAATGTATTCAAATTCCCAGCCCAGCTCCATAGACAATAGACAAGCAGGGATACTCTCCGAGCCACCGCAGTTCCACCTCTCCTCGTCCCCTGGGCCTGTATCTGGCCATGTATTGGCCCAGATGCCTTGCTTTTGCCATTGCTTAATGACCCAGTCTCGAGCGGGTATATTTGGTGTTTCCAGGTTTGTATAAAATCTTTTGTGCATATATGTCCTTCTCCATTCTTCGACTTGACGAATTTCTCGTAGTCTGACGTGGTAATCGAACCGCTTTCGGGGTGTTTCGTGCGGTCCTTCGCTCGCAGGTGCATCTCGTTCGCTGGAACTCTCAGACAGAGGATCGACGCTTCGGTATACTGGGGGCAGATCAGAGCTTTCACCTGTAGCCCAGGTCCATAGGTTTTGAAACATGGCGATGTGACTTGGTGAAGTTGTTCATAGAAAAGCAACAATTGCGGCATGTACGTACGGTGACTACCCATCCTCACATAGTGTCGCACTGTAGTGCATCGTGACTGGCAGAGGTGTGGGCCTGTTTGACCAACCGCATCACAGAGCTCGCTGGTGCCAATGTCCTCGGCGGCTAGCAGAACAAAGGACGAGAGGAGCATCCAATCGATGGCAGCTCTTAGCGCCGTCCTGTTGCGCGCACAGCCACGACCGAGTTTGACATGTCTGGCGTTACCCAGCATCTGGACTTCCTTGGCTCTGCGAGCCTGGCGCAAGGCCACACTGCCGAGACATCCTACGCTGGCTGACACCCAACTAGGGCCTCTTAGGGATCATGGCACGGAGACCCAGCATGCAGTCGTTGCCGCGACCGGTGATCAGTCCATGGGTGACCTCACCAGGTTTGTGTTGGAGAAGGCGGCCGGGGACTGCCGGGTCGAAAGCCGACATCTGGCTCACAGAGATGTTCCGGATGCCTGGTGCCTTTCCAAATAATCATGTCATAGAATTGTTTTGTATTGGTTTGCAAGGTGCATTGTTTTCGGGTCCATCAAGTCTATTCTAGACAATTTATTTATTTGTTCTTGTTTGGTCAAGCCCCGTATCTGACTCCTCCAATGTGGCTGCTGTGGTAAAGAGAGCCTTGCTTGCCGTAGTGGTGTCCCATTTGACTCCAGGTTGGCAGATCGTTCCTCTGGCTTGCGGGCTATTTATTATTATATTTGCCGATTTGACCGATATCAAAAGCAATCCAATCCAATCCATGTGTCGCCACGCAATTTACAGCCAATAATTATTTCCTGTCCCGACGTTTGTATTGCGACAATCTTTATAAATGGGATTACAATCTACCTTGACTCCAGTGTTATCTAGACGTTTCTGCTGTGGAAGCTACGGAATATTAGGCGGAAGCACGTAGATATCTACAAGTTTAATAGCAACAATCTTAATATATTTTATACTTAGGATTCTAACTTCCGAACTCTCTACTATCCCCTCGTCACGTCTGCTTCTCCCCCAGGTGCTTGCAACTCGAATGCTGATCCGGCAGTCTTATTGCCCACAAACACTACATATTAGCACACTTCAACTCGACCCCGTCGAATCCCAATCCTTGAATATCTTACCTGAGACACCGTCGGGCTACGAATTACCTGCGTAATTCTCCATTTGGCCGAAGCCGAAGCACCACCCGCACCTCTGAACCTTCGTGAATGCCATAGTCTGAGAGGACGTTGTCGCTCTGGAGCTCACGCCCCTTGAAAAGAATTTTCTGTTGTGCGACCGGAATGTGGGCGACCTGCTCAAGCTGCTGTTTGATGACACTAACTTTGGTTGAGTCCTCGCCTGTGAGGGTATACACATTTCCTGCCATTGTCAGGGCATAAAATTTGAAGCCCAAACAGACCTGCGCCGCAAGAGCAGCAATGGAAACAATGTGATGCTTCATTGTGAAGAGAGCTTTTTGAGTTTTGCTTTGAAGCGATTGTGATGGAATGTGTGTTGGATGATGCAAAGGCAGAATATGCTCGATGAACACGGCGAAGCTGCTATTTATGATTCTATAATTCAGGCTTGTGTACCAACAGAAAAGCAAATGGGACATGTAGTACGGGATGCGGGGTTTACATCCAATACAATTGAGACACGGCAACGGACAAAGTAAAACACACATACGGATAGATGACTATCCGTACATTATACGACTTGATTCTGCTATCTATTCCTTGCAGCGGCCTGAGACGCTGGTAGACCAGTCTTGTGCTGAAGATCCTTGATGAACGCCCGCACTGTCCCTTTTACAGACAAAGACGTAGCCGTACGCGACCAGACTGACGCGGAACAGGGCACCACGTGAACCAACTTCACCAAGAGGCGTCAGGCCGTTATCTAAGGAATCTTGCAGCTGCTGGGTCAAAAGTTGGAGCCATTTGGCATGACGGAGAGGGTGGCGGCGGCTGGTCAACCGAGGAAGCTGGCGTGCGAAAGAGCTGTCGCTTCGGCAGGTCGCCAGCTCCCTTAGAACCAAGACTGCAAATAAACCAATACATGCACTGCCACTATATCCATTGCCCTGTCTGATTCGAATGCTGAGTGCACAGGTGACGCGACCAGCGGAGCGCAAGCGCCGTATACACTAAGCCCACGTCGAGCGAAGCGAGGAAAAGAAGAAGAAGAAAAAGGCTGAGGGTAGCTGTAATGAAAAGAGATTATTTTATAAATTGTACGCTTTTATGGATGGCGCTGCGCTTGGCTTCTTTTTTTTCCTCGCTCCGCTCGTCTCTGCGCACAACGTTCTAAACTCACGAGAAAATTTGACCTCGTCCAGTCCCCTAGATTCCTCCGTGAAATCGACGGGTGGCTGGCCATGTTGCGATGGAGACTGTTGATCCTCAAATGGCTATTTGACAAGCAACACAATCCAGACAGTGCCATCTTCCACAACCCACTGCAGGTCTTTGATGCCAGCACAATCGACCTTTCTTTCGGCGACGCCATCTGTGTTGGAATCGACAAACACAGGTTGAACCGCTTCGATACGAGTCACCCGTGGGTTGTACAGGAGACGGCGGCACTCCCCAAGATTCGACCCAAGATATGGTTTGCGTACATCGTCGACAGACACCCCGTCCCCGGACCCGGAATTGTCATCCGAATGCTCAGCAACGTTGCACCGGAGCGAGGTTAAGATTTGCCCGCCAAGGCTAACCACACTGTCATCTCCATAAATCAAGAGGCGGGTCTTTATAACTAGATGTCCTAAGCCTTTGCCGGCCTCAACACCAACTCTAGTGTTAATGTGGGGTTACATCATCATCCTTCACGCCGTGGAATCTTCATCTCTCGCACACACATGACAGCGATGGCGGGAATAAATCTTCCACCATTCAGTAATGAGTCCTGCGAAGCGTAGCCTATTCGTGGTATGCGGAGCAGCCGTCCTTGGCCAGTATTTAGATCCCTTGCAGTCCACGTTGACGTGCCACCAGGCCCACGACTTCCTTCATACCAACCACCCATCCCAGTCCTCCAAGAAACCTTTTCTCTTTCTACCTCGTTCAAAATCCCGCCAACACTTACCTCCCCGCGCACCATGAAGACGGCAACTCTGCTGTGCCTCGCCAGCGCGCTCGGCGGGTGCGTCTCCGGGCTGGGCATCAACTGCCGGGGCTCCGGGTTCTGCCCCTCGGACGGGGCGGCGGGCAACCTGATCAACCTCAAGGCGATTGTGGACGGCATCGCGGACCGCGGGCGGGGGTACGCGACGGGCCAGCAGATTGCGTGCACCGGCTCGCTGTGCGCCTTCTTTCAGAACGGCGCGTCCGGGACCGCCGGCCAGGCCTCGGCGCTGCTCCAGCAGCTGCTCGACCACGGGTGCAAAAAGTGCGGCTCCGTGCCGACGCAGCCCGGCAACGACGTCTCCAGGGGCGAGCTCACGGTCAATATCGTCGGAGACGCCCACTGCCAAGGCGCGTGCTGAGCTTGTCTCTGTTGGGGGTTGGAATGGCTGTCATGGTCACAAGCTGGTCTCAGTGTATGGATTTCAATGCAACATAGTTTAGTTGGCTCGCCAAGAACTGGCTGGGTGTATAGAGGCCGCAGAACTGGCTTACTCTTGAGGAGAAATTGGAATGGCAGAATAGCTAGTCAGCATTGATTATTTTGTCATCGATGACCTTGTTGATAGAAGGAAATGAGAATAATATGGTGCACAAGCTCTGTTGCAACCAGGTCCATAAAGTACCGGTTCCATAGTACTCCACTATGACGATCTGCATCGGAGAATTTACCGAGTCTCCATCGCTTGGCAGTTGAACTAGTTGGCTTTCGCTTGGCAGTTGATCTAGTTGGATTTCGCTTGGCAGTTGTTGCAGTTGTTCTAGTTGGCTTTACTACTAGCGGTTGGCTTCTTTGTTAGTCGTGTTGGTGCGATGGCCGACACTATTTGCTTACAGCAACAACTTTGTCCACCAACCACCATCAAGAGCATTTTGGACAACGTCATCGCCACGATTTGCAGTCTTCATCTGAGTTTCCTTGATAACCTGCTGGGACTTTTTGTGCAGCTATGTCGTTGTATTTAGTTTGACTACTATAAAATCCCCCTCCCCGCCCTTCAGCTGCTTGCTGTCAATATACCCAACATACAATACACTCTGCTTCCCAAACACACACAATGCATTTCTTCTCCTTCTCTCTCTTCCTCATCGGCGCAGCGGCGCTTGGGATCAATTGTCGAGGCAGCGGTGTCTGCAATTTCAACGATGCCTCGTTGCAAGTTGTTCATGACCAAGTGGGCGCTCTGATCGCTGGCGGCGGCGGCGACAGGAGGTTCAACAGTGGTGGTACGTTGCGGCTTCCCCCTCTGTTGTATATGACATGCTTGCTACAACCCTCCACTCCCTTGATCTTCCAGCCCCCCTTCCACCGTCGGCGCTGATCGTTGCTAACAAGTCTTCTAAGAACAAATTGCCTGCTCTCAAGGATCTCAGGGCAGTATCTGCGCATTTTACCAGAACGGCGCTTCCGGCACGGCCAGGGACGCATACGGTCAGCTTCAACAGCTTCTCGATCACAAGTGCCGTGCGTGCGGCAGTGTTCCCACGCAGCCGGGCAACGACGTCTCCAAGGGCGAGCTAACTGTCAACTTTGTCTCGAAGGCGTGCTGTGGTGGGAGCTGCCATTGTTAGAGGTGTGAGTCAGGAAGGGAGATGGAGCACGTGGCGAGCAGAGAGAGGGTGGGCAAAATGCAAATCTGAATTCGCTTGAAAATAGAGTCTAATACAGATGCTAAACGCCATGTATGAATTAAGCCGTCACGGTAAATGCCATTCGGAAAAAAAAAAGAAAAAAAGGAAGAAAAAAAAGCTTGTCGGTCGGTTACACGCTTTCGACAGCGGTGGCGCCTGAATTGGGGCGCATCTCTTCACTCTTCTTGAGCTTCCTTTGCTGGTCCTTGCCCATCTTGTAGAAAATCCAGACGCCCCAAAGTTGGGCGGCCGAGAATAATGTGTGGAGGAAGGGCGTGGTGATTTTGAGCGAGAGAGACCACTTGTCCCAGAGGGAGCCGAAGAGGAACATGACGATGATGGTCTCGGTGGTGGTGCCTACAACCTCGAGAATGGCCGTCGCGTAGAAGATGCGGGAGAGGAGGGCGTGGTTGTCGTGGTGGACGCGGTAGAGGATCATGGCGAGATGAGGCCAGAGTTCGGCGACGACATCAAAGGCGCCTATGCAAATCTTGTCAGCGGCTTCGCTCGTGTTACGAAGAGGGGTTTGGGGGGGGTGGGCAAAACATACCCCAGATGAAGCACAGGATGAACTCGTAGACGGCGTCTCTCTCGTGGCCAAAGTTGATGCTCATGGCAATGGCGGCCTGGGCAATGACAATGGCGCCAATGTGGTGGGCGCAGCTAATGACGGAGACCTTTTCGCGAAAGAAGAGCTCAAAGATGTACATGCCGGTGAAGATTTGCGACGAGACAATCATCATGTCGCCGAGGGTGACGGCGGAGCCCTTGGCGTAGGGGGTGTGCGGCGTGGCGTTGCCGCAGATGATGGCGAGGAGGGGATAGCCGCAGAGGAAGACGAGCAGGATCTTGGTGCCGGCGGCGACGTGGTGGTTGGTGAAGCTGCGCATCTGGGTGCTGGAGACGTTGCGGAGGGCGTCGCGCGAGTACATCTTGGGGATGAAGGGATCGAGGATGTAGAGCCGGACGAGGGCGATGACGCAGCAGGTGACGGTCAGGATGAGCCCGGAAAAGGGCGCAATGGACGAGATGAGCTCGTTGATGAGCTCGCCGAGATGCAGGCCATGGTGCTGGCCGCTGTGAGGACCTGGCATTTTTGTTGTGCGAGAGCGAGGGATGAAGTGCGAATATTAAAAAGGATGTATATATATGTAATCGATGGCCACACAAACACACACACACACACACACACACAAACAAAGCGCAGAGGGCTATGAAGCGGTTGATGAGTGAGCCAGAGCCGGCGCGAGCCCAAGGTGGGTAAGGCGAGAAGCCAAGGGCCTTAGTTGTGAGTCGGTCGGCTGGATGTTGACATGGGATGAGAATGAGCGTCTTGGTGTTTTTGGATAATGATGTCGGTGGAAGCGAAGAGAGAGCAAGGTTTTGGACGGGGTAAAAGGCGATCAGAGAAGAGAAAAAAAAAAGGGAGAGGCAGCGGGAAGAAAGAAGATGGGCGTCAGCCTCTCATTATTTACAGGCGGGAAAGGGGTCGCAAGATGACCACCCACCAAACCCACCCAAAAAGCGTCGCCGCCTGGGGGCAAATGAATCGGGTGGCACAATGAGGTTTCCCTTCCATCCCAGTAAGCACAGCCCTACTGGCAATACATTGACCAGGGGGGGGGGGGGTCAGCGGGGGTGGGACGACTCTGGGAAACCGACGACAATTACGAGGGTAATAAGTCGATATGGAGTCGACGAGGCGGAACAGGCAACTGTACATTCGTTTTAGTGTGAAGCTAAGCGTTTTGGTTTCGGGGGTTGAATCAATAGTGGTTGCCCAAATCGGCCCAGAGATGCCGCTTGCTACTTGGAATACGGCTGGAGCCGAGCAGGGCGAACAGGGGACGAGACTCCAAGGTCGGAAGTGCGGTGCCGGGCTGCCAATCTCATTCGTTGCAGGGACTCCACACTACCTAGTACCACTTGGTGCAACGGGATGAGCGCAAGGGGGGGACCTTTTTTGTTTTGCGGAAGTCCTACCCCAACTGGCTAGCGCAGATCAACTGTCCACGCGTCCCTTGCTTGGCTCCTGCGACAGCCCCTGTAATAAAGCGCGCATCATCGGTGCTGCACCAGTAAGATGTTTTCTTTCTATTTTTTTTATTTTTTTTTGGCGTTGGAACCGAAAACGAGCAAAGGCAACGTCAGCATGCATGGCCCAACAACGGCTTTCGCGCGCCTTGGAGGAACGAATGCCGCCGCGGGTCCCCTTTGCAGCACGCACTGCAAATTGGACGCACAACTGACAGATGACAGACGACGATACAAAAGTGGCACACTCTTGCACAAAGATGGCGAAATAAACTATTGTACGCCCCAAAAGTCTACAAGGCGGGGGGAAGGACAGTCTTTTCAGCTTGTCGGTGTCCTGATGCACTCTCGTGCGATGCTCCCTGCACGTACGGCATTGGGGATTCACCCCAAGTTGGTGCCTAGTATCCGTACTACTAAGTTAAGTTACTAAGGCACCCAGGTAGCGCAGTACTGCACCTCGGGAGCCCTGAAGCCTCAACCGGGCTAAAACGTGCTAGCGTCGTGGCAAGGCGACGGCCGAGTCGACGCCCTCAGCCCTCTTCCCCACTACAAAAACACGGCTTTCTCATTCTTGACCGACCACGAACTAGGTACCAACGAAGCAGGTAAAGGAGTGCCCGACTTTTGCGGAAACCTTAATTCATGCGCAGCTCACCGATGAGCATTTCTCACAACACGATCGACTCAAGCCGCAGTGCTACAGCACGTCTTTTTCCGTACCGTACGCACCATTCCGCATTCCGCCCCATCAAGTCAGATAGCCAGCCCCCTGCGCTGCAGGTGAGATTTCTTCCTTTTGCTCTGATTGGCTCATCTCAATGGCACGCTGATGTTCAAACTCCACCACATTGCACTTTGCAATCTCAAATGACAACAAAAAAAAGAGCGACGACCCCCGCGCGCTATATAGAAACAAGGCGCAATTCCCTTGCGCCCCTCCCCTCGGCCAACTGGCGGAAAACAAAACAAAAAGTGGTGGCTTCAATAGCCCAGCCCAGCGCTAGTTCGTTCCCAAAAGTCGGCGCACAGCCCTACGAGGGAAAGCGCCTTGTGACCCCCAGAACAAAATTGGGCGGGGGAGGAGGACGGGGGGGGGCCTTTGTTCCTGCGAACAAGCCACTTGCACTGCGTAATCCTTTAATAAAAAGTATATTAACGTACGATGCGAGAGATCTTTCTTGCGATTCTCCAACCACAGCCACTAAACCTGTTTGGGGGCCGGGGGGGGGAGTTGAACCTTTTTCCGGGCAGGGCCACACGTGCCACACAGGAAGTAAAAGCTCGCATCTACCACGACTCGTCACATCCACAAATCATGGCGTTTGTTGTTGTGGTCGTTGAGTAGTTGCGACATATTTTCGACATGGACGGAAACGTCAATACGTAGTTGCCGCAAATTGGGTTTCCAAAGATCAAAAAAAAAGAAAGACGGCGTCGTTGCAAAGTGCAAGCATCATTCACGGCGAGCCGCAACCCAACGATTATTCAAATCGAATTTTCACCTTTCGCACTACATGATGGACAAAAACATGCCGACTGCAAGACGCGCGTTTTCCCGTCGAGACCAACAAGCGTCAACAGACAAGGACGTATCAGCAACAGTAACCTGCTGCACGGTACCCCACGAGCAAACACTCAGTCGTGTAGATACAGGTGGTAGCCATCAGCGGAGAACTTTGGCCGTTCCCGACTAGCATACCTTTATTTAGTTATGATTATTTGCGATGCCAGTCCGCGAAGCTCGACCCAACACGCCATCACAGAACCCTGCAAGGGCATTCCTCGTATACTGGCGCGCTGATCCTCGTTTCCCTATCCCTTTAGACTGCACGAAAACGATAGGTATACTTGATTCGTCATAGAAAGACGCATCCCCACTTACGTTTGTACCTACTGGAGACGTTGTAATTTCCCTACTCTTTCTCGGGATCAGCTCTCTAATAGTGTGGTCATTGTGCCAGGACAGTCAATGGACTTGCCCATGAGATCCTTCCGCCCGCCATGGCCTTCATGGAAAGAGAGTTGCTCCTCAAGGCCCCGCAGATGCTTGGAGCCTGGAACACAGGTTCGTATTCTTGCCTTTGTGTGGGGTTCCCCACGGCAGAGCGACAGACTCGATATAGGGGCGTGGCACTGTCCCAGTGGCGGAGTCTGGCCGATATTGGACTGGTTTACACTGCCTTTGCTGGCGTCGACCTCGCGAAACCACCTCGCGAGCATCAACTGTGGCAGGCACGGTCAGTACGCTAAGCAAGCAGGACAGAATGTTGCTGTAGACGCGTGTTTTGGAATTCGCCGCAAGGCCGGTTGCCGGCTTTGCTTCACAGGTGCTGGCGTGTGGCCGCTGCGTAGCAATGAGAGACGACAGGTAGTGCACGGCTGGCGTGGATACCACGACATGTCCAAGACAATCTCAGTGACAACAAAAATTGCTGATGAACCGCACGTGGCAGTTCAAGGGGAGTTTCAGCGCATCTGAGCCGAGACATGCTCGTTGCTTGAAGGGATGTTTCCCGGCTTCTGCCAAATCTCGTATCAAGAGCGAAAGAATGGCACCGACCTCGGAGATCCCGTATCCTTCTCGAGCAAACGAAAACCGAAAGATCGTACTGCGACCAACGAGTCATCAACGCCGATAAAGTTGGTCAATCGGGCGTTCGCCGACTGCTGGATATAACTGGCTCGGGTCTCTCGTAGACGTTGCAAACTGTGATCATAGCCGGCATTCATCGCAACACACAGATCATGTCCTCACGAATGCAGAGCCATCATAGGGCAAAGTACAGCTGAAAAATTTGTACGTTAGAATCGTCAAGCCGCTATACTAGTTTCTTCTATATCATTTATCAAGGTTGTAGCCTACCCTGTCAAGACTTATTTCGCGAGAAACGATTAAAGATGTTTTTAATTTGCTTCTTGACTTCGCTGCTCTTGCTCTCCCTGTCACCGCTCACACTCTCCTGGGCCCCGTTATCTCCCTGCAGCTCCCGGGACGCCTGTGCCGCACCCCTCTCGCCGGCCTCGGCCGCCTCGCGGGGCGGGGTCAGCTCGCCGCTCTTCTTGTTCATCTGCTCGTGCGCATCCAGCTGCGCGGTGTGGTCGTGCATGAGCTGCTGCGCGAGTCCGACCGTGTTCTCGTCGTCGTCGTCGCCTTGTTGCAGCGGCGGCGCGGTGGCGGCGCCGGCGGTGTCGGTGCCGTCGGCGAGCATCTGCAGCCCATTCCTGTCAAACAGGTCGGCGACCTTGCCGGGCCCCAGCAGGCGGTCGTACACGGCGAGCGTGGTGCCAAACTCCTTGCGGGCGCCGACCTTGATGGCGTCGAGCAGCTGCAGCGCGTACGTCTGGCAGTTGTTGGAGATGAGGTTGTACGCGGGCGTCTTGTCGCGGATGGCGGCAATGACCGTCTCGCCCGCGCGCCGCAGCGCGTCGTCGTTGAAGCGCGTCTGCCCGACGCTAAACGTCTGCCACTCGGCCCGGTCAATCCGGCCGTTGATGTAGATGACGTGGAACCGCTCGTCCATCCACAGCTGGTGCACGTAGTCGCCCACGAGCACCGCCCAGTGCTGCGTCGGGTCGGGGTACTTGTTGGTCCGCTCCGTAATCATCTTGCCCAGCCCCGTGCTCGTCGCAAACCACTTGCCCGCCAGCCCCCCGACCGGGTGCCAGCCAATCTCGACCGGCCGCGGCTCGGCATCGTGCACCGGCTCGCCTTCCGGTATGGCATTGGGTTGCGCCCCGAGTCCTACGGCCCGTTTCAAGGCCAGCTCGCCCTTGTTGAGGTTCTTTTGGCTGTGAATTGGTTAGCGGCCACTCCAGCGATGGCAGGGGGGTTGGTTGTGAGGCCGCCGAGTATCGGTCGAAACAGCGCGACATACAAGAATTCACCCACGTCGAACCCCTCTTTTTCTTTACCCGCTTCCACCTCCGACATTGCCAGGAAGATGTGTCTGGGTTGGCAGGATTTGAAATCGCGTAGCGACGCGTTGGAGATGTCAAATCATTCGCGCAGGATGCAAAGTTGTGTGGCGTTCACCCAACCCAGCCCGAGGCCTCCACGTGTCTCGTGGCTGAGGCTGTGGCACAGGTCCGAGCGAGGAAGCGCCGTGTGTTGCAAGAAAATGTTGCATTGCTCTAGGGTATTGGAGTAATGAAAGGCCAATTACGTTGCAGAGCTGGAAACCGTTACTTAAACCACAGGGCTCAGAAAAAAATCGCAGAGAAATCGACATACACGGCACATGCTCCAATTATCTAATTAGCACATACTGCCCCTCAGGTTTCTGAGCAGTGGAGGGTCAGTCAGGGCAGTACTATTCGTGTTCAGCTGCTATTATCTGGCAATTAGACCTAGGGGCTAACCACTCAAAAGCTAGTTGTCGGAGTTAAAAGACTAAGAAAGAACTCAAGCTGAAAAATCCGCTTACAATTAATGGCGTAGAGATGCTATTTTACAAGTTGGCAGTCATGGTCAGGGACAAAATGGAAATGTCCGTTGTGACCGTAAACTCCCGTGGCTGCGATTCGGGGTTAACAACATTTGAGCCCGCCACGCCGCCACGGTAAACCCCAGGTTTTAAAACAGCCATGGCCCATACCCACAGAAATAATTGGTATTGCGACACGCGCGGAGAAGACCTTTGCTTGCGGTCGTCCGGTCGTCCCGGTGGAGCTCCGGATCGAGCTCGATGCAAGGTCAAGCTCTGTCGGCGTTAAGAACCGGCAAGTACACTAGCAATCCCCTCGAGTACGTCAAAATCCGCCATTCATGACATCAGTTGCGGAGGAGCAAATGGCGACCCTCCGCTCTGTATGAGTAATCTAGTCATGCTATTTCATTATATATAGCACGGCGTAGGCCGACTCAACAGACCACCGACCCATTCGACACCCACAGCGAGAGTCACAACAGTGAAAGTCACAACAGCCAAAGTCACACAACCAAAGTCACAACAACCAAAGCCACAACAGCACAACAAACCCACCTTCAACTCTACCATGTCTCTGCCCACGCGAACACTCGGCCGCAACGGTCCCCAGGTCACCGGCATCGGTCTGGGGCTCATGTCCTTTGCGGGGTGGTACAAGCAGCAGGACACGAGCGAGGAGACGGCGCTCGCGTTCCTGGACCGCGCCTACGAGCTGGGCGAGCGGTTCTGGGACACGGCCGACGTCTACGCCAGCAGCGAGGCGCGCGTGGGCGCGTGGTTCAAGCGCACGGGCAAGCGCGACGACATCTTCCTGGCGACCAAGTTTGCCCTCCGCCACACGCCCGACGGCAGCCGCGTGCTCGACAACGACCCGGCGTACGTCAAGGAGGCGTGCGCCAAGAGCCTGCAGACGCTCGGCGTCGACACCATCGACCTGTACTACTGCCACCGCGTGGACGACAAGACGCCCATTGAGCACACCATCAAGGCCATGGCCGAGCTCAAGGCGTGAGTTCCCGTGTTCCCCCCCCTTTTGAAAGCACAAATCCTTTTGCTGACATCGTTTCTTGGAGCGAATAGGGAGGGCAAAATTCGGTACCTCGGTCTGTCCGAGTGCTCCGCGGCCACGATCCGGCGCGCGCACGCGGTGCACCCCATCGCGGCGTACCAGGTCGAGTACAGCCCGCTGTTCCTGGACATTGAGTCGCCGCAGACGGGCATCCTGCAGACGTGCCGGGAGCTGGGCATCGCCGTGGTGGCGTACAGTCCGGTGGCGCGCGGGCTGCTGACGGGCGCGGTGCGGTCGCACGCGGACCTGGCCAAGGACGACTTCCGCGCGGCCGTGCCCAAGTTCAGCGCCGACAACTTCCCCAAGATCCTGGCGCTCGTGGACCGCATCCGCGCCGTCGGCGAGAAGCACGGCGCCACGCCCGCGCAGGTCTGCCTCGCATGGGTCGCCGCGCAGGGCGACGACTTCATCTCCATCCCCGGCACCACCACGGTCAAGTACCTCGAGGACAATGTCAAGGCGCTGCACGTCAAGCTCACGCCCGACGAGGTGGCGGAGCTGCGCAGGTACGCCGAGGCGACGGAGCTTCAGGGGGACCGGTACCCTACCGAGTATGTTGCGCCGGCCGGTGATGGAACGTCTCACAGCATGCTGACCAGTTATAGATTCGGTTCCGTATTCCGCGATTCTGTTCCGCTGTAGAGGATGGCAGGATAGGCCTTGCTATGTCAGGCCTGCGAGGTTACCTATTGGTCATGGTTGGTACGCCGCTGGGATGTTACGTAGTTGAACATGGGTTCAGAAATGAGCCATGCCAGTAATGAAGAACAAGGCAGAACAATGAATAATTTATTACGACTGTATGAAACAATGTTCAAGTATCTGGTCATTTGCAGGGGCCATTCAATCAGGCTTAGCCCCATATGAGTCAGCACCATATTTTGTCACCACTAACCCAGCAAATCTTTTCCTTTCCTCACTTCATCTATCGCACACTTTTTTTCCATCCAAGTCAGCCATTGCGAGGACTCGGCTCTTTATTCGCACGTACCACTACTGAAATGAACAACGCCGTTGAAACTGACAGAACTTTGATCAAACGTAGTCGCAGCTGCCACTGCCGACAACAATGGTAAGCTCCGCATCGCATCCCCGACCCAAAACAACTGGCCTACGACATTGTCACCATGCCAGCTTTCTTGTTGTCTGATGACGGTTATTTCAATGAAATACCGCGGCTTATGAGTTTCCATGTCGCTCTTGACATTTTTCTTAGGATGCACGTTGGAGATGCTTGATTACACATTCTCCCCTGATCCAACGAACCCCCCTCCTGTCCTACGTGTTGCACAACAACCTTCGCGTATACTAACGTGTATTTGCAGATTGTCCTACGGAGTACTACATTCACGAATGCAAACGGTAATAACGATACTAGGCAATCTTCTTTTACGACGCCGTCGCCACAGAAAGAATTATGCCGACTGATCACCCTTAGACGCTCCATCGAGTCCAAACCACCCGCCTCCGTAATTTCGTCATTGAATCATACACATCATCACTCATCGCTTGGTTTGCTCGCGTCATCGACCAGTATCAGTACCGTCAGCGCAGCTGCGTAGCACTCACGAATTGCGCAGGCCATGCTATGCCAGTCAGCATAATGGGCTCCAACGACGAAGCCACGTAAATTGGGCCACTTACCATGTTTTGCTCGCGTCAGCTACCATGGCGCTCACGCCCCAATGCGCGCACCACGCTCTGACGAGGACCTCGTGGTCCGGCACGCCGAATGCTTCGACAACGAGGACTTCCTCATCATCCTGCTGCTGGAGACTATCCGTCGTAGCACCTCCGTTAAGGCCATTGCCGCCTTGTACCATCGGCATCGGCGTAGATTGTGCACTCCTTAAGCTACCCGCCTTCGTATACAGTCGACCCCAGTCTCTGACGGCCAAGATCTCGTCAGCGGGAATAAGTTTATAGACGTAGTCAAAGAACAGTGGGTGCGGCCCATCCGAGCATGGCCAGGCATTTACAAAGGACACATCGTAAGCCAGCCGTAGCGGCCACGACACGCCATCCACAGCAACCTGTACCACTGCGTCAAACAGCTTCGGCCCTGGCGGGGGCTGTGTCGGATCCAGCGCCGGCACTTCACGCAACGATAGGAGCTCTACGCGGGCTGTGTCGAGAGGAGCGCATCGACTGGCTGCCGGAGTCACCAGGACATATTCGTCGACAGGATAAATTTCCGACGGTGGACCCAGCGGGTCGGACCTCTCCCCCATGCTTTCGACATCCTCGCGCTGCATAACTTGTTTCGGCATGCGGGCGCGGATGCGCGCAATTTGCGACCGCCCAAGATCTGCCGTGGGACATGCCGGCCCGACCCAGCCGGCCAGCGCCTGGCACGTCGGCGCGAGCACCTTCCCCACGATGCAGGTAGTTGTCCAGTACGTGTAGCTATTACGGTACTGGAAGCCGCATTTTGGATGCATGTGCGAGAGCAGCGCCAGCTCGTCGGTGGCCTCGTCTGGGTCCGTATCGATGAGGGTGTTCATAATGATGAACGGAAACGTCGGGCCGGGGAGGACAAGGCCGCTAAAAAAGGCATAGGCGTCAGAACTCACTGCATCCGAAGCCACCTCGTCTTCCGAATCTTTGAGTGTGTCGAGGGTCTCGCCGAGATTGGGCCATTTCAAGGTAGTCGCAAATTTTTTCAGCATCTTGACTTGGCGCCTTCTGAGCTTGAATCGAAGCTTGATATCATCAATGGTTGGTCCATAGCTGTCGACTCGAATGTAATCGCTCCAGCGCCTCGCCAGTGCCAAGTTCCATCGTATCGTGGGCGGAATCTGCTGCAACAGCTTGTCTTTGGCATAGTCGCTGTGCTGCTTGTTATGTATGCGCACATTCAGCTCCATGCTGAGTAGTAATTGATGGAAGAAGGCTAGGTACTTTTCGTGGTCCTCGGGAAACGGGTCGAATATGAAGCGTGTCACGACTTGATTTTTGGGGTTTGTCAAGTCAATCCAATCCCGCCGCGAGAGTGCCACGATGAGATCAGTAATCTGCTTTTCCAAACTTTTTCGTGGGTTCAATATACGATCCGGATCGCGCAGGATTCTTTTATACAACGTACGATATAGGGTACTCTCGTCAAGGTCATCACGCGCACTCTGCAACTCCCGAAGCCGTTCAAACACTTGCTCGAGGGTGAGTGCCCGCGGCGTAATGCCAGAATCGCGGAGGGCGATGCTCGTCGGGAACTCGCTCGCCATGGACGCCCAGTGGTTCAGCGTAATGGTCCCCGGCCGGGCTCCATACATGTACGCGCAGCTCGGCTGCTCCAGCGTGCTCCAGGGCGACGAAATCTCGCCCGGCCCGGCTAGCCGCAGCGTCATGAGCTGCACCATGGCGTCGTGCAGGTTGGCGCGGTCCGTGGCCTCGCCGCGGTTTCCCGACGAGGCTGCGTAGAGGGCGTAAAAGTCGCTGGACACGTGCGGCACGGCGCGGCGGTAGCCCTTGTGGGAGGACGCGCCGCGCGCAATCAGAGCCATGGCCTGGTCGCGGGCCAGCTCTTGCTTGGGTGCCATGCCGGCGGGTGGCCAGTCGGTAAGAGGCGTCGGGGGGGACTGCTGGCCGGACGCTTCGGCGTCTGTGTCATTGTCGTCGCTGAACCGGGCGACCCGTCGTCGGCGCGGGCGCGCATCGGCATCGCGTGGGCGTGGTTGGGCCATGGCCGACATCTCTGGTGGTGGACGGCGTGGTCGCGCTGCAACAGCTCTTGTCCTTCGTGCATCTTGTTTGGTCTAGCGGATTGAAACCCGTGTTAGCGTCTGGCGTGCTGATTTGGATGGGATGACGGTAGAGCTGAGCGTACCTTGAGTTTTGTAGTGCCGTTGCCTCTCCTCAAGAGGCCTCCCCAGAATCCACCTGGTTTCGTCGCGTTGTCGTCCATTTTTGCTCCCCTCGTCTGTGGGTAAAACGCGGGGACCCAACAGTAACTATATGCTCCGAATACAAAAGCCGAGCAGGTCAGAGAGTGTCACAACACGTATTGCAGAGTGCTAGCAGTGACTGGGTGCTGTATTGAAGCTTCGCCAGCCTCCCGATGGCACACACGCGCGCGGTCTGTCGTCGTGCAATCATGGCGCGGCGCGCACAGTGCAGTGATTGTTCTCAAACGCTCGCGGGGCAGAGGGGCGGCTGACTGCTGCGTCGTAGGATCCTGCTCTTCCCCCAGACTACGCTCTCTTCTGTGCTAGGGGGGACAAACTACGAGCGGTGATGCGTTCTTGTGTTCTTGTGTGCTTGTGAGGTAGAGGAGTGACGGTTGGTCGGTGGTGCTGTGTCTTGAGAATCTCCAGATGGCAAGTACTGCGTGCTCGGTAGGTACCATGTAGCATCAGCCCACAGTGCGTGGTTCATGGTTGTCGTAAGCTGTAACGTGTAACGCTGCTAGTACTACAATGCGCCACACCAGCCACAGTAGCCTTCCACCAGCCACCAGGCGAATAAATCCGTTGCCCATACATACTATTATCTTCAGTGTGCTTTTTATCTTCTTTGTTAGTCTTATCTTCTTAATTCTACTTGCCCTTGTTATCTGTCGTTTTCTTCTAGTCCTTCTTATCATTTTCAGTTTTATTATATTATTTCCCCTTCTCCCTTATACAAACCTTTTAATAGAGTGTGCAGTGTCCGTGTCTCTCGATGCCTTCTAGCCGCCAGCCATACTACCCTGGACGGTCAAGCAGCAGCGCCTGTGTGGCAACTTTTGATACAAATTCCACAAGCTGGGATAACTCGCGTGTCATGGCAACCGCTCAACATGATGGGTCACCGTAGATACGAATTTCTAGAGCGCGGATGAGCCAAGTGCCCGAGTGTACTCGACGTGTCTGCCGTCCCGGACCACTGCGTGCGATTGTGGGAATGGAAGTTGGCTGCGGTGTATTTGGATTAGCGATGAGGAGAACTACTCGCACCATATGTCTGGGACAATCGGGTCCTAAGTTATTTGCCGTCGTTTGTCACGGACACGAACTATGAGCTGTTCTTCCGCTGCCCCGATATGGCGTGCAAATGAGCAGAATCTCGACTCCACCATTGTCCAGCCTGGAAAAAGGCGAAAGCAGCTCTTGGTCATGGCAGAAAGTAACTACTGGATCCACTGGCATGTCGACAGGAAGATCCAACACCTTTGCTCGAGCTAGGCAGCATCACGGTGCAGTGTTTCGACGTCGTCAGGACCCAGCCGGACCAGTATGGTGCTTGATGAACAATGCGAGGTTGCACGCTCAGTGTGGCCGGAGACGGCGCCTGGCGGGGCGCAGATCTTGGTTCAGCCATCCCGGGCAGGGCACGGCCGCGGGTGTGATGAAGCCGAGCGCGGAGAAATCAGGGTGGCGGCGGCAAAAACAAAGAAAAAGCACAAAAAATTGAGGCTTATCCGGGACGAGATTTGAAAACGCACCCGGCACAGGATGATTGTCGGATCATGGAGCATTATGCGATGCTGGGAGGCGCGCCAGCGATGACTATAAACGCATGCATCAGCAGGGGACGGGTTACATTTGGGTCGATTCCGACGACTACGCCTATGCAAAGGTTGACAGACAGCCTGGCAGGGGCCAACAGCAAGTTGTCGTTGCGGAAAGACGGCGAACGACTCCGTATAGCAATAGTGCCGAGGCGGCGGACAAAGGGCACGGCAGAGATGTCAACTGCCGAGGACAAAGGTCGTCGCGCTATTGGTTACAGAGCCAAGCGGTTCCCGACACTCTGGCTGGAAAGGACGGTTTCTACGACTTTTACCATGTGTTAGTTAGCACCTACTAGCTGGCGGTGGTAGTCGTTTAGCCTTTATTACTCCGTACAGACTCCATGCAGTGGCTATTGCATTGTGCACCGACCCCTCGGGGACATAGTGCACGAACACGGAGCTGAGACGAGAAACAGTCTCGTCTTGGAATACCACCGAACAGGGTGGTGCTGGCGTAACCATTGGCCCTGCAGCCGGGCTTATCTGGTGCACTGTCCGCTATTGGTCATGGGTCAATGTCGCTTAGTATTTTGGGGGCAAGTAAAAAAAAAGGCCGGCAAGTATGGAAAAAGGGGCCCGCGATGAGCAAACATCGGCAGTTCGATTTAGATCCCAACTAAGGTTCCGACAAGGCTTCCAATGGGGTTCTAGTGAAAAGTTTGACATGGTCGACAAGGGGGCCCGGATGTGGCAGCCTATAGGTAAGTTGTGGCCAAAACTTAGTTCACACCCTATGTGTGGTTAGATATGAAATAATACATATATAAGTAGGCTATTATGTTTTTTAATTACATACTATCCTTATAGCCAGCCAGCCAGCAGCCAGCCAGCAAGTAAGTAATAAGTCAGCCAGCCAGCCAGCAAGTAAGTAATAAGCCAGCCAGCCAGCCAGCCAGCCAGCAAGTATGTAATAAGCCAGCCAGCCAGCCAGCGAGGAAGTCAGCCAGCCAGCCGCCAGCCAGCTAGGAAGTACTAGCTGGCTTACTTACTTGCTGGCTAGCTAGCTACCTTGCTGGTTGGCTGCTGGCTGGCTGACTTCCTCGCTGGCTGGCTGGCTTCCTTGCTAGCTGGCTTCCTTACTCTTGCTGGTTCCTCGCTGGCTGGCTGGCTGGCTTCCTTGCTAGTTCTAAGCACTTAAATAGAAATATCGATATACTGAAAAAAATTACACACGCTCTCGGTGTATGCCTAGTCCCGGCAAGGATCACCCCTGCTTGGCGGGGGAAGAAGAGAACCAGGGGCCGATTCAGACATGCCTAGTCCATCTATCTATCCACGTCGAGTCGGGACATTGTTAGCACCACAAGTTTGAATTGGAGACTGGCAGGCTGGCTAACAGCTGCTGAGGATTCCTGAGACATGGGTGGGCATGCGGTGAACTATAAGTGGCAAGTTGGGATATGCTCTGCTCGGTCGAGACTTTGCCAACTACCGACGTAGCCACTGCGTATATATAAAGATGAGAAGCTGCCAGACGACCTTGTAGATCGGCCGCCATTCTCAGTATACTGTACAGCATTTGGACAGGTGTGTGTGCAACGCTCGCCAGACACCGCAAGAATGGAAGTCGATCTGCCCTCTCTCTTTTTCGGGGCCACTGTTGGCATCTTCCCCTTTGTCCTGTCCAAAATCATCTCGCAGACATGGAAGATCATGGGCTGCCTAAAGAGCGTGCACAGCTTCTACGTGTACATGATTTGGCTCGACGCCTTTGCGGGCCTCATCTTCGGCATCATCACCATCCTCTACCTGAAGGGTGTCATTCCGGGTCATTTTGGCTTCTTCTTTGCCTCTGGTAATTTTTTTCCCCGATATTCTCCCATTCCTGAGCTCTTGTGACCGGTATGCTAACAGCAATTCTTGCCTCTCCCAGTCCTTCTATGGGCTATACAGACGCAGTTTCAGCCGCAGATTATTGCCAACCGTCTCTCCATCATCATGACGAACCGCCGCAAGGCCAATTGGCTGCGCATCGGTCTCTTCCTCGCTATCCTGCCCCTCAACATCATGGTCTACTTTATCTGGATCTCGGCCCACTTGCCCAACGCAACCGAGGAGCGGAAGCGTCTCAACCAGGCCTGCGAGAGGATGGAAAAATCCGTCTTCCTCGTCCTCGACCTCGTCCTCAACTTGATGTTTTTGCATCTTGTGCGGTCGCGACTCATATCGGGAGGCCTGACCAAGTACTGGCGCCTGTTCAACATGAATGTCTTTCTGATTGGGATATCCACGACCCTGGATGCTGCTCTGTTGGGCATGATCAGTCTGCCGGACCCCTATGTGTAAGCTGTTCCAGTGCCCTTGTTGAAACGGTCTTTTTTTTTTTCAAGTCGGAGACTAATCTGCTCTTTTAAATCTTGCCAGATATGTGCAATTCACCCCGCTGGTGTACATTATCAAGCTCTACATTGAACTCGTCATGGCGAACCTCATTGCCAAGATTGCGCGCAGCGACAACCCGCTCTACGGCGGCCGCAACAACAACAACTCGTCGCACATGCGGAGTCAGCAGCAGCACAACACGACAACGGCCAGCAGGGCGTATGCCGAGCACTCGTCCGTGGATGCCATCATCACCGTCGAGGCGCAGGGGAGCTCGGGCGGGGCCAAGAGCTCAACCTGGAACAGCGAAAGCGACGGCCGGAGCGAGGTGGCCGGCGACGAGTATTATCTGGTGGACATGCCGCCCAGCAGAGCACTCAACGCCATTATGAAGACGGTTGAGATTACCGTGTCGGAGAACAACCCAGGCGCGGCCGATGCAGAGCGCCGGAAATCGCAGCAACCCGCCCGCCTGGACCCAGGAGGGATCCCGGGAAATTGGGCCACGCAGCCGCCAGCGCCAAAGTACACGGAATGAAAGCCGGCGAGGATAGACTTGCTGTGCGGACCGCCGGGGTCATTCGGAGCGCGGCCCTGCCTGTAGTCACCGGCAAGGGATAAAGCTGTGCTGTGTGGTGTGGACGTGTCAGTCGGTGACTGGGACTGGCTTGGGAATATGTTGAGGATAACAACTTGTTTGGCTGTTGAACAAGAAGCCATGTTATCTTGACAACTTGCATTTTTTTTCTTGCATATTTTTATCATCAAAAGGAAAATAACATATTTTAATAGTAAGTGGTGGGAGGGTAGTTGGTTTGGAAGAAGAAATGCTCGGCTTTACCAACTGCGGGTTTAACTGGAAGCAAACAGCAGCCTTCAAATACCAAGTGCCAATCGTGGCAAAAACCAATACGCAACAAATAGATACCGAGTATAGAATTGATTCATCATCTTCTCCCTTCACCGCATGCCATAGTTGGCACTTGGCCAACCGGGCCTTTTGGCTGCAAGTCTGCAAGTCTGCTGGACGCGACTCTCCCCATTTCCGTGCCACCGACGGAAACACACGGGACGAACCACTGTCGGACAAGGGATGAAGCAAGCAAACAAAAAGCTGCATATTGGTCGCACGAGCGGGAAGAAAATTGGCTCACTTTCGAGGTAGGCAGGTGTTACGACGGCAGGTAGGTAGGTATATAGGGGGCGGAAGCTCCAGACAAGGACGGCAAAACTTGCAGAAAGAACAATACAAAAGATCAAAGCAAAAAAGGCTAGACGCCACCGGTATGTATTTGTCCTTTTTTTTTTGCCGCCCTTTTCTATGTAAGAAACAAAGACGAGCTTCTCCCGGATTAGCGGGCGCCAAAGAGGCGCTCCACATGTTGTCACTCGATCGAGGCGGGCCAATTCGTGGCCTCGTCTCATCTCTCATCTCCAACCTCTTCGCTCTTCCCACTTCCCTCCTCCCTCCCTCCTTCCACACCCATCTTGTTCAGCCTCTACACGCTGCCAGCAAACTCTCCCCCCTCTCAACCATTCATCACTGCCCTTCAATTGCAGATTCATCCTCGAGAATCGTACTGAGACAAGCACCCAGCCATAGTCTACTACCCCAGCCGGGCGCTCCTTCGAAACCACACCACATTTACCCAGCAGCGCCCGCAGCGTCGCCATGGCGGCTCTCATCGACCCGACTGTCGCCGGCAAATACCCCGTCATCCTGGGCGACAGCCTGACCGGCGATGATTCCAACGAAATCTTTACCGGGGTCCGCTGTACGTTGTTTTGCCCCGGCCGGGGCACTGTGCCCGACATTCGCATTGGATGCGGTGCTGTGGGTGTGCTAACCCGCCGTCTTGACAGACAACCACAAGCCGACCCTCTCCTCCCCCGACGGCCCCGAACGCGCGCGCCTCAAGCCGTCGCTCCCGGGCAAGACGTCGTCGTACGACCTTTTGTACAAGGACGGCAGCGACGACTACGCCTTTTCCGGCCCGCGCAGCACAGACGACGACCAGTACGTGCTGTGCTTTGACCCCGTCCGCCAGGCGTTTGTCCTCGACAAGGTCGACTCGACATTCAACATGAACATCAGGCGCATGCCGGGCGGTGCCGACTCGGAGGAGCTGAGCCGCCGCTTCCCGCATCTCGACGTGCACGATCCCGTCCATGACTCCATCAACGTCCGCGCGCCTGCTTCGCAACAGAGCAGCGCCGGGTCACCGTCGTCGGCGCTGCCACCCACCAGCAACGGCACGCAGGGGAAGCGGAAGGTTGACAAGAAGCCACCCAAGAACCTCGCCATGCCCGTGGCGGCTGCCCCGGCCCCGGCGGCGCCCGACAAGCCCAAGAAACGCGCCGACGACGACGATGACGACGAAGATGAGGATGAGGATGACGACGGCGGCCTGATGATTGAGTACCCCGAGGGTCCGCCCGCCACAAAGGCCGTTGCCAAGCACAATGACTTCTCGCCCGCCTTTCCCACACAGCGCCGCTTCGACGACTACATGAACCAGCGCGAGTCGGAAGCCGACGATGCGGATGCTGAGAGCGACGACGACATGGACATGGATTTCAAGCTGCCCAGTCCCGTCAATGCGCAGCAGCACAACGGCCACACCCCGGCGACCCCGGCGGACGAGGAGGAACAGGCGGCGGGCAGCGAAGACGACGGCGGCATGCTGGATCTCGAGGCCGACTTGGAAAATGACCTCGAGAATGCGTTTGAGGATCTCGCCAATAGTCAGGAAGAGGGTGGCCGCGACGACGAGAGCGAGATTAGCGAGGAGGACTGAGTTACTGGTGATGCGCCACTAAACGCAACTGCCCGCCTGCTGCATCCACGGCTCCGAGGTTCCATGGTCTTGCCCATGTGTCAGTAGCCAATCTAGTTGCTCTGAGCCTTGGCCTTGCTCGCATCGCCACCATCAGCCACCTCACATATGTCGCGCGAAGAAGCCGCGGCCGCGATACCAGGTCTTACCCGAGTCAACTCCCGCCGTCCACCACGCAAAGGTCCCAGTGGCCAGCGACATGGTAGGTATAAACGGCCGAAGAGCAGTGCCGTGCCGATGCCCTGTATGAGAAAAGAGAAGGAAGAATATGGAAGGATTTACGTTGAACAGCAAAACTTGACTTTTGACTAGGGCGTTTATGGGTTGGAGAGGAGCGAATTTGACTTTTATTTACTCTACATCCCTCTTGACTACAACTGGTGAATGTATCCATGGCCTGAGTTGTGCTTTGAGGTGGCGAGTGCGCTGGGCTCGCGATTTTTCCTCTCCAACTGGAGACGCCTTTTCAACAAGGGCTCATGACGGAGCACATCCACGACCCCCCCGTGGACACGGCGCAGATGCGGTCGCCGCTGCTGCGCCAGATGCCCATGCCCAGATACCGCCCATTAACCACATGATAGGTGCCGACGAGCGGATACCGCGCAGCCTCGCCCGATGGCTTCAGCACCACCTCGTAGCGAATCTGGCGCACGCGGCGCTGCACCACGACACACCCGTCGTCGTCGGGGCGCAGGCCGGGCTCGCGCAGCCTCGCGAGCGCCGCGCGCCACGCCGCGGCCGTCATGTCCTCCCCGAACAGGATGCCCGCGCCCTTGCCGCCGCGCACCGGCTTGAGCAGGTACTCGTGCCTGGCGTGCTCGTCGAGCGTGCGCAGCGCGGGCGACCCGGGCAGGATGGTGTGCGCGATGCCGCGGTCCAGCGCCGCGGCCTGCGCGGGCGTCAGCACCCCGCGCGCCGTCAGGCCGCCGAGCTCCTGTAGGACGAC